CCCCCCCCCCCGCGCGCTTATAAATTATTGGTATAAAGGGATTAGCTTTCCTTAGTTCTGAACTCATAAAAAGTTCCTCTGGTATAGTATTTATAAACCTAAATTGAGTGGCTAGAGAGAGGAAAAGTACCTATCATCATGCTTTTCATCTACCTATGGATATGTGTTTTGTCACTTACCCTGGGAGAAATTGCACATCACATTGTGCTGCTCTGGTCTTGTTTTAATGCATAACTGAGTTATGCATATTTTAAATGTCTTGCAGAGAGAGAATATTGTTGACATTTTCTATGAGAAGCACCTTGGACAACTAATTGATGCCATAACAGCTTCATGTCTTCCAAACAACGATTCACAAACTGCAATAGACTCTTTGAGCTATATTGAAGGAGCTGAGAAGCAGAGGAGCGTAAAGCCTGAAATTCTACTCAACATTTGTGATCTTCTGTGCTTTTGTGTCGTGCACCATCCTTATAGAATAAAGTATAATGTTATTGTCTCCCATATGTTTATCTACATGAATGAGCTCAAATTATTTGCTTTATTTATCTAGAGTTTTCATTTTCTGCTGCAGGTGCAGCTTTCTTCTTAACAATGTGATAGACAAAGTTCTGTTGCTGACTCGGAGAAGAGAAAAATATCTTGTAGTATCTGCAGTTAGATTTATGCGAACTCTCATCTCTCGAAATGTAAGCTCTATATACTCAACATTTCACTTGTAGACCTGTTGACTTAGTCTTGCATCTGCTCAAGTGCGGTAGCACATGCAAATATTTGATTAGGTAGCCAGTGTTGACAGCTATCACATTAATATATTCAACTAAAATAAAGAATTTGATTATATATGCAAATAAAGGTAAAATTGTCATTTTCATTCAATCCATCAATTTCACTATAATAGTACCTTATGCACTACTTTTTCATTATAACCAAATGAATCTGTGTAATTACCTAAGTTTGAGTTGATGTTTGGAAAACAATCTTACTCACAAGGCTGATAAGCAGAAATGTAAGGTCTCCAATGGCAATCGGCGAAGTCTTTTGAATTCAGCTGTTGTACACTTACACTAGCTAATTTTGAAAAGTAATGATGCAGGATGAGCATGTGATGAACCATATAGTGAGGAACAATCTTTTGAAACCAGTTGTTGATGCTTTTGTTGCCAATGGCAATCGGTATAATCTTTTGAATTCTGCTGTTCTTGAACTTTTTGAGTACATCCGTAAGGTACAAATTCATTTCTTTACCCCTTTTCTGGATCATACATCGTATCTATGTGTGGTTGTGAATGCTTTCTTTCTTTTTTTTCCTTTCATGATCTCATTTGATATATCTTTGCATGCAGCCAGAAACTCTAAAAATGTTACTTAAATATTTGGTGGATACATTTTGGGATCAGCTGGTCGAATTCAATAAGTTTTCATCTATTCAATCTTTAAAAATTAAATATGACCAGGTTATTTCCTGTCTCGTACAAGACCTCGAATATATTTTTCTGCAAGGTATTCCTCCTGTTGCTGAACAAGTGTCACACTTTACCTTTGCACATAAATTAAGGAATTAGATGCAACTCTACTTAAGGAAAAAAAATACAGATAGTTAGGTGGGTTTTCGCTTCAATTGAATTACAATTTTTTTCTTGAATGACATACTAAGTCAGCGATGAATTAATTATAACTTCAATTACTGCTTTTAGTGCTTTATGAAATAGCATGATCCGTTTAAGTAAAAGAATTCACCAACGTGACACTTATTCAGAGACATAGGGAGTACTACATATGGCTCAGGTGTTCTGTTGTGTACTTAACCTACAATTGGCTCCTTCAGATTCATGATACCTCAGGAGCAAGAACGGTTTCTAACGTGGTCAACTCTCGGAAAAGAGGTGATGAACGTGCTTTGGAAAAAGAAGAGGAAGACTATTTCAATCAGGGCAGGTAAGCATTTTAAGTTCCTCCTCAATCCTAGGAGTCCAGTTTAATCAAACAAAACTAATTTTTCATGTAATTTGCCAAGAGAGAGACACAAGTTGTATCTTTGATAAAGTTAGTTAAGCTAAATAAATATGAATAATTTTTCATTATTTATATCGTTTGTACTTTACAAAATTTAAAATTTGTACAATAGTCAAATTGGAGTTTTTTGGGGGATGTAGCCATGTAGGTGGTATTTAAGTAGTAAGTTTATTTGTTTTGAGTTGTTTTCAGTGATGACGAAGATACTGCATCGGTTTCTGTGTCGAATACTAAAAGAGCACAACCTCGAAGAGTCTTGGCTAATGGCTCCGTTTCAAACTACGTGGCAGTCAGGTAATGTTACTTCTAATTGGAATGCATGTGTACCCCATGGGTTCTTTTACAAAAGAAAAACTTCCATATGCAATTTTAAGGTCTGGGGGACTTGTTGATTATGATGACGATGAGGACGACGAGGATTACAAACCACCACCTAAGAAACAAGTGGGTCCATCTAATGAAGATGAGGTAGAGTCGTTCCCATTGAAACGAAAGCTTTGCTCCAAGGAAGAGCCAATCTCAAAAAGAGTTCATCGGGCGGCCAAAAACTCAAAGTCACGTAACAGTGTTTTTGCTGCGCTATGCTCAACCTTGAGCCAAGCGGTTTTGCCAACTAATGTCAAAACAACAAACACTGCCCAAGAAGGCGATTCTTCTTGCTCAGACCCAAAGGATTCAACAACTGAAGCCAGTTGTGGGAAAACTAGTAGGGTTCCTTCTTCTGATTGTAATGGAAGCTTGGAAGCTGAGAGGTGTGTTGACAAGGATGAGGTTTCATCCCCTACAAACTTCTCCCAAGGCTTATCATCATCATCCAATTCTCCTGATAGCAACAACAACAACAATAACAGGCAGTTTTGTGAGATTCAACAGAAGTCTTCTCCTGAAATGGCTGTGAATGGATCATGAACGAAATCGTGTTTCTGATAATCGTCACATTTCGACTACTGATCTCAGCAGTTAGGTTGCAGAATGGAATGCCATCCTCGCCGGAAAGAGGGGTATGATGTACAGTGCCATTGCAAGGAAAGGCAGGGAGAGTGTCCGGGTCACGCTTTAAATGCTTTTAGAGTAAATTATTGTTCTACTCCCATAGCTGTTTCATAGCCATAGTTTTACTCTTCTTTTTATTGAATCTCATATTTGTGATCTTCAGTTTCTTTGCTTCAGTTTCTATGTGAATGTCATTCAAGTGGCTACTGACTTATTGGGTTTTATATTTTGATATGAAATTTTGAAAATATGGGTGTCTTAGGGAATGTGAGTGTGCTGTGTTAGGGCAACTTCTCCTCAACTGTGGTGTAATATCAAATTAAGTTCAGAGAAAATTGTACATTATGGTATCAAGAAAACAAAGCCAATCTGCTATTATTACTCGAGTATATAATATTTGCTCTGAGTGTGTTTGGTATTTACTACACTAGTTAAGTGCTCATGAACCTTTGAATTCTTCTACCTATCCAAATATGAATATCATCTGATGGGGACAAAATTTCTATTTCACCAATATATAATTAGCATTAACTGAATTCGTATGGTAATTTATAATTGTGGGTGAATGTAATAGCAGCATGAAATATTTTTTTTTTGTAATAGGGTCAGTTTTTATTTACATTCTTTATTTATTTTTGTTGCCAATTTGAGAAAATAATGCAGTTTTTAAATACTCATAAATTTTAAATTCTATACTACAGTAATTTTTAGACTAGTTGGATTGAAAATAATTTCTGTCAAATTTCATAAACATGGCGGCGGAGGGAGTACAAATATGATGGATAGGGTTTAAAAAACAAAGGTTAGTAAAAATGATTGACTATGAAAGATAAAAATAAAGAAATATTAGGGATGAATGTAATAGTACGAAATGATAATCATTGATTGCAATGAATTCATTTAGATCTACTACCCTCTCAAGGTGTTTATTCACTTTTATTTTTACACACCATCCCAGGACGGATGGAGTAATATTTTTGTTTTGATTGGAAAGTGCTAATGTGCTTATTACTTGCTCCTCTTTTCTAATTTAATTTATTTATTTGTTATTCACAAAGTCAAAGTTTAATCATGTTCATTTCTTTTTTGGTAAAAATTTTGATGTAGTTTTAAATATATGAATTTTACCACTTCTGCCCGGTGTATTTGTTCAGTATGATTTTTTCGAGTCAAAATGGATAAATTTTGAGCTCGAATTACTCCTAATTTATTTTACATATTAGTATAATGAAATATAATTTTAAAAGTACTCAATATGGTAAATCCATTAGAATCATTTTCACGCAAAAATATATTACAATTTTAATTTAATTCAAGCTCAATCTTTGTCAAATTTGACTCGAAAAAATCAAACTGGACAAATACACTGAGTCAGAAGGAATATTCTTAATTTCCTACCAATTTTCAAATAAAGTAAATTGAAAAAAAGTTCAATTAAACTCATAAAAAATAACAAACAATTTAAATTGGGACTGAGTATGAAACTATGAAACACAACAAAAGAAGAAACAACTTTTAATTAATCAATCAATTGACATTTTCTTTTCCAGTCTCCTACACTATACAAATGAACTAATTGATGGACTTGTTTTTTTTTCCAGATCCATTCTACCCCCCCTCTAATCTGTGCATCTCCAAATCCAGAAACAAACCATCTGAAAGGTTAGAAAAATCTGCTAACCCTAGTAAAAGAAGAAAGAGACAAATTCTTTTATCTTTCCTTCCCTCCTCCCACTTTTCCTTTTTTTTCTTTGCTCTCAAGTTTATATGATGAACAAGACGAGATCTTTTGCTAGTATAGGCTTTCCTACAAAATTGTACTGGTATCCACAAGGCGGCGGCGGCAGCAGGGCAGGCTACAAAGATGAGAGTGTTTTATGGAGGAAGTTAGAGAGTTGTTTGATTTTCTTGCAGAGTTCGACGCTTCTTCCAAAGTAAGATTCAGCATTTGACAGCATCACCTCTATGTCATGTTTCACTGCCTCTACGCGTCTGTAGTAATTGTTCTTCAGTCGGGAGTGGATAATGTCAAGAGACAATGGCACCGGAAACCTGCAACAGCAAATATGCATGTTCTTAACAGACAAATCTTGTGAAAGGATTTAAAAAAAGGAGGCAGAAACAAGAGATTTATAAGGAGAGTGCACCTGTTAATGAATTGTGACCTGTGTGAAACTTGTTTCAATTTCTGTACCCCATAATAGTCCTGACACAATAAATAAATATATAAATAAATGAATAAATGAAGTGAGGGTACATTTTTAGAGAATATTTGGATCATGGGAAAATGCTAGGAAATGGGAAAAGAAGATTAGTGAAAATTATTTTCTTATGTTTGGCTAAAACCTGGAAATTGTGAAGGAAAATGGAAGAGATGATTACATTTTGTAAAAAAAAAAATCGTTTTTATAGATTCACCGATCTTTCATAATGATTATCGCCATCTTTACAAGTACCTTAACCCAACTAGTTGGGTTGTAGCATAAGATTTGTAGAGGTATTTATCATAAACACAGTTGCATTGTTTTACTCCATATAAAATTAGTCTTTGCATGATAGAAATAAGTAAATGCAGAGTAAATAACATGAATCTGACCTTATATCTAAAACGCATTTTTCAAGTTATCCTTCATTTTCTAGTGAAAATATACCTGAACTTTGTTTCCAGACCGTTCCAGTTTGTCCATGGCATCCAGCAGCCTGGCTCTGATTTTCTCATCTATCTGAGGCTGTTTCCGCTCAGTATCAGAGTCAAACAGTTCCCAAGGACTATGCCGGTGTTGTTCTGAGGGATCCCCCTTCTTGTATCTGACAATGTACCTTTCCCAGGGACTATCCGGATACTCAATGGATTTAGGTTGGACATTAACAATTCTACCTTCCCACCAATCGCCATCCTCTTCACCCTCGTTTTTCCACCAGACACGGCATTTGTCCCTTGAAGTCCAGTTCCTCTCTATAGCCACATCATATTTACTTCTCTCGACAAGAAAGTCAGGGAAACCAGTCACTTCAGGTAGTGTTAACTGAAACACTTTGCCTGCCACCCCTGATTTAGGATCAATAAATTTAAGTTTCATTTTAGAGCAACTTTCTCCTGAACCTGGACGGGAAGCATACACAAGTTCATCAACCCTGCAAAATTCAACCGCACTTATACTGCCAGTGATTGTTTCCCAAGGGCCCAAATCTCTCAGGTCACATTCATTTATGTACTCCTCATGGCCCTGAATTTGAAAAAAAAAACGCAACCATGTCATAATGCAATTATGTACTCCTCATGGCCCTGGGAAAAATGTATTTCAGACGTGCCACCCCCCCTGTCCCACTCCCCTCTTTTTTTCACTGTAGGGGTGTGGGTCAGAACTCAGCAATGAATGACAAAGAATAAGAGAAAAAAAAGCTACCTGTCTAAAATACACAACTTCATCCCCTTGCTGAGGGATGTATCGGTGCTCCTCTTGTGCTACTAGCATTAACCACGACCTTTTTGCTGATGGATTTGACTTCTTTCTATCTGGGGGTGGACTAGATTCACGGAAGTAAAAACTGCTTCTCCTTATCCTCGTAGATCTCATTCCAACAACAGCTTTTGAATTATTGCACTGCAATTCATCAAGTCTTTCATCATCAGCTCTAAAATTACCTGAACCTGTTGATGGGGGTAATGAGTAATCGTGGGGTTTCCTAAATCTCAGATTTATAACACCGTTTGAAGACCTTGGCCTGTTAGATCTTGCTCTGCGGACCCCATCACCTATATTATTATTATTATTATTATTATTATTATTATTATTATTATTATTATTATTATTATTATTATTATTATTATTATTATTATTATTATTATTATTATCACTCCCTTCAGCAGGAGTGAGATTGTGTGACGTTGATGTACTGGCTTCCATGCTTCCAACAGTACATCCAAGGTTACTACTTCTACTACCCCTGCCAAATCTTGACCTCCTATAGACAGCACTGAACATCCTATCCTCTGATTGCAACTGCTTTGAATCCTCCAGAATAGCATTTCTAGTAGCTCCGCAATAATTGCCCAGCCCCACCTGTTTATCATTACACAGTACGGCTGAACTTAAAATCTTCCCGCTCTCTTCAGAAACACCAGATGTACTCGGCCTACAATTATCTAATGCAGAGTCTTTGCCCATTTTATTATTAACTCCAAGGCCATTAGAGACATCAGGCTTTGACCTTATCTTCAACCTAGTTGGTGTGACTGGAACTCTTTCATTGACTGAATGATGATCGCCAGTACCATTATTAGCATATGGAGAAGGCACTGTCTCATCATCAGCCAATTCATGAGAGCATATTGGCAATTTTTCCGAAGTCTTGCACTCTTCTGCGTGCCCTTCAGCAATTTCAGGTATCCCAGTTTGAAGCAAAGGAAAAATACTTTCACTCTCTTTTTCCATTGTGGAATTCTCATTAATTAGATTTTCTTCCGGAGCACGTCCACTGAGATTTGAGCTTGCTCCAGCATATGAACCAGATGGTGGCAGATCTCCTGTCCTTGAATGTTTGTATGTACGAGATCTAACTCCTCCCCATCTCATGGTCCCACCATCACATCCATCAAGGAGATATGAATGATGTGACCACATTGGTGGCCCCGTCTCACTTTTTCCTGTTACATCATTATCTGTAACTCTGGGTAAGTTAGCCTGCGTTTTACAGTCATTTGCATTGTTGGCCTCTTGAACACTTGTAAATGATGGACCACCCGGCTCCAACATGGCACTTTGAGTGGGTGCAATCCTACTTGAGTCACGGTTTGGCAACCTGAGAACCAATTTCTTTCTGAATCCATCATTCAGTTGATATTTACCTATATCCTCAGACTGATCCACGCATATTTCTTTCCCCTTTGAATGCAGGTGATAATGTTCATCGTGCAAGGATACATCCGACTCATCACTTTCGGTGTGCGAGTCCTGTAATGTAGACTTACTTTCTGATGAACCGTCTTCAGAAAAGTTCTCATCTTCTCCATCATCCACGGATGCCCCTGTAATTCGAGAAAACAAATGTAGGGCATTACGTGCTGCAGCTCTCCTTGGTCTCCTAGAAGATTTTGAAGACTTCTTTGAAGTTTTCCGGCCATTTCTTGATTTTCTGACATGGTTGTTGTTCCTATGCGAACTGCCATCATAGTCATCCAAGTTCTTCCTCTTCACACGCCTTCCAAAAGAAGTCATGATCTCAACCTGTGAATCAAGTGTAGAAACTGGATTGATTTCTGAACCAAAGTGAAAAAAGGGCTCCACAATAAAATGAAAAGAATAAATAACGTACTTCCCCTTTGTGTTTTTTCCGTTTTGATCTACGAAGGATGTCTCGCTGGGCATCTTCCTCACTGTTTCCTTCACTGCTTGCCGAGTCATCTGAAGCATTGGAACTAGAACTCCTTTGCTCCCCTCCAGAAGTAAAGCAGTCCTCAGTAATATTATACTCTGAATCTGCATCCTCACTTATATTCTCAACTACAGGCTCCCAATCCATTGCCTCCACAATCCCAGGGAGTGGTTCAATCATCATTTCTAAGTCCGCGATGGGAAGCATTTGGAAATCTGGGTCTAGGCAAAAATCAGGACCGACTGCAAATCTGAAAGATGGTGGGCGCCATTCAATACCCATGGCTCCTAACCTCCTCTTTTGGTACATGCTCTGATAAGGATCAGGATATGGGATCATGACTGCCATTTTTTGACACTTGAGTTACCATCTCCGAAGAGACAAGAAAACAAACAATATTAACATTCAGGCTAAAGCGAGGTGAGAGAAACCTGAATCACAGAGGAGATCTTGCATGTTCCTCCGATATGGAGAAAGTTGAGTTTCCTACACAAGTAGATAATTGCATTTCGCTCTTTGATTTTTTTTAAAAAAAATAAACAAACACACCATCGAACAGCTATTTCAACATCATCATATACTGGACTTCAGTCACTTCACTCTTGACTTCTAAGGCATTCATGTTGCAGTAAATAGGTTGAATGTTGTGTCAAATTCTAAGTTCTATAATGGTAATGAATATTATTTATTACTTGTATTACAAATTCAATTTGGACAATTATTTGATAGGGATCAGTTTCCATCGTCTCCGATGGAGCCAAAAATACACTATTTGTTGGCTTTGGGGTGTGATGGAATAAAGCAAAATGGATCTCTAAACCGTCTGGTCTTCTTTAATTAATGAAGTAGCAGTTAGTCAATCAAAGCAGCTTTCGACGTGAACCGGGGGTCCCTTTGAAAACAGCCTCTCTACTTTCGAGTAGGGGTAAAGTCTGCGTACACACCCACTGCAGACCCTACTCTTCTGGGATTCAAGTGGGTTGTTGTTGTTGTATTTGATAGGGATCAGCAAGATTTAGCTTGCTGACCCATTGGATTGAAATTAAGACGTGGTTGTTGTTGGTCAACAAGATGTAGCTTGCGGAAAGCCACTCCTAACCTCATAAAGTAGAAACTGATCCTAAAGCACACATCGCACCTTCCCCGACGTATATACCCAAAAGGAAAAAAGGATAACTTGATTGAAAGAGAACTCTAAATATAAAAACATATTCAATTGATTAATAATTTGATACTCCTTTCGTCCCCATTTAATCTTCCGTTCTGTTGTTTACACGGAGTATAAGAAAGGTGAAATTGTATGGTTGAAATTTGTGCACCGGAGAGAGAATTAATGGGAACCAAAGAAATACTTTATATGGAAACGTGAAGACTTCTTAGGGGCATCTAAAAAAAGGAAGGTGGGAAGATAAAAAAGAGACCGAGGGAGCATTACATTTTCAAGGCAAAACTAATAGTTCATCTTGTATTGTTCTACTCCAACCAAGAAAAAAGAATAGCTGTAATTTGTTAGAGAAATCAAATACATAATACCATTGATACATTACATTAATTGAGAAAAGCTCACAATGCATTCCACTAAGGGAAGGCAGAGAAAGCAGGAATCCAAAACCTACCTGATCTAGGACATTTCCAATGGCATCTTGAACAAGTGGGCGATAATCACCAAGGAAGAACTGTTAGGACATGATTTTATACATTATTAACTGAACCAAGGAGTCGGTGACAGAGTCTGTAGTTAAAGAACTAATAGAACACATATAAACCTGGTCATATTTGGCATCTTTCTGGGATTCTCCTTCACCCGTGCTCAAAATATATAATTGACCAACATCATCAGAAAGTATAATTGATGTCCCATCACTGGAAGATAAGGCAGCATTTACATCAAAACTAATGGCGTGCATGTTGATAACCAGTTAACCACTTACTCTCTATGTCCCAAAATGTTTCTCACATTAGACAAAACAGCGTGAAGAATATTTTTATTTTATCAAATATTCGATGAAAATGTGCAAATAAACAAAAGTTCCCGTGAATTTCGAATAGTGAACTCTGACATTCTTTTTCGGACAGAGGGAGTATGTTATTCTATGTATTTCCTAACAGTGTCTCAAGAACTGACATGAAATGATATTAATAAAACCCCTCACTCATCTAGTCATTTCACTCAAGAACTTTTACAATACAAACAAACAAAACCAGGTATGGGGCCAAGTTTTTCAAATGCAAGGTGAGATGTCTCAAGATACATGAAAGCAAGAATACGAGGGGGATCAACTTACGGGGAAAACTTCCCATCAACAAGCTTGAATCTTCCCATTTCGTAGCTCCGAATGGGTGCACCTTCCCAAATCTGTAATTTGTTTGAGGTTTTTGTTGACATGAGATTATGTGAAGTAAAAATAAAAATAAAGTAAAATAAATTCTTGTATATAAACAGAGACTCTAAACATTTTGCTCAGTATTATATTCACATGAGAATACCACTGATGCACTGAGTAGAATGGTGATAAATGCCAGTGCTGATTCAGCAGCAGTATGTTTAAAGATCCCTATCAAGTCAGGGATAAGCCCTGGACCAATGATCATGTAAAACTAATAGAATGGAAAGAGAGTGAACTCACATCCCACACAATAGTTTTCCCATCATATCCAGCACTCATTGCGATTCGAGGATTGAAAGGATGAACATCTAGAACATAGGCCTGTGACAATTAAAAATACCACAATTAGACATGGCCTATGTATTTATTATTAAAATTACGATTATTATTAACGACACAATTCATTTCAACAAGTGGCACATGCCCTTCATAATGGCCATCTTATATCAACTTTATCATATGATAATATGAAAGGCATGACACTTATAATGCAATAAAAGTATACTTTGCAAATTAATACAGAGTAGAACTTCTTCGTTCTTTTCAAAATACAATGGTGTCTGAAAACATTGAAGTTATGGGTTGTGCAAACATAACAACGTCAAGTCCCTTAACTAGTTGGCATATAGTGTTCATTCATTGCAGAAAGTAGAAAATAACTTTTACAGAAACTGTTCAAGACTTACAGATGCAGTATGACCCGTCAAAGAATGGACTAAGCTTCCATCAACTGCATTCCAGACACATATTCTGCAGTCTATGAAGCAAGGGAAGATGATGTGAGTTATAGAAGAAGAGCATATGACAACATAACATTCTTTAAAATATAGGAGTAATAAGATGAAAGGGAATGCCATGCAAAAATATCAGGGAAAGTCGTCGGCCAAAAAGTTGGTAAACTTAAGCCTTTTGGAAGATGGCAAAGTACATTCCTCATATTGCTAAGGAAAAAATGTCAAAGAAACCTGATGGGAGATGGAAGTGATGTTAAAAAATTCCTAGACAAAGTGATCAAAAAAGCCGCTGAACAGATGATCGTGAATTAGTTTGTCAACTTACAATAGTAGCATAATGATAATTTCTCCTCTGAATAGAAGGCCTTACTAGTCCATAAATTAAGCACTTGATTTTGTTTTCATTAGTATAAATTAAGGGGTCTTTCTATATTCTACTTCAAATAAATAAACCAACTGGAAATGCCACAATATCATGAATCCAAAGTAAAGGTTTGCCAAACCAAAAACATACTCCTTCTGTCCCTAAATACATTGCGCTCTCCGAACAACGTGCAAAATACCGTGACCTTTAAATTTATTTTATTTACAAATTGGTATAGTATTAAAAAATACAACCTATATATTTAAAAACTATATCAAAAGTTCTACAAACTGAGTGGTGAAAAAAGAATAATTTATCAAATGATCAATGAAAACATGTCAACAAAAGTTATTGGGGCGGAGGGAGTATTTCACTAAGGAATATATGAACATGATATACCCATTATACTGGGTTTGTTGTTGTTTATACCCATTATAGCAGCCAGAACAAAACGGTTATCCAGGCTCCACACAATCATGTTAACCCCGCGAGGAGTTGGAAGTGTTCTTTGGCGTGGACCTCCTCGAGGAGGTTGTGGCGGCATTGGTGGTGGTGGGACTTTCAGATGATATGCTTTCTGCCAGCGTCCACTCTTTCCCTGAAACAAGAAATGTGCATATATTAAAACATACCACGAAGGCAACAAAATGGGTAGCAGTATATCCACTTAAACTCAGATCCTCAATGCCTTGAAGATAATTTTTATTTGTTTTGAAAATATATACATGCAAAGGAAAGCTCACATGCGATCTACGCGGTCGGGGTATCCATATAATTGCACTGCCATCACGAGAGCATGTGACAATGTTGTCATGAGTAAACCTATTTTTTGAAGTTACATTACCCAAATATCATATCAGAATAAAGAAGCCATGTCAATAGGACTAAAGACCAATCTAGACCTGCAGTCATTACATACTGAAACACACCATGAGTTTTTGAATTTTGGAATAGTTTCTTCCTTTGAAGAATCCGAGAGAAAATACTTCGATGTCACACAAGCACCACTGCATCATCACCAATTGGATATTTAATGAATAGTATGAATGACAATATCAGAGATATTCAGGCTAACAAACCTGAATTGCACATAATTTACATCATTTTCATGCCCAGCTAAAACATCTGTCTCATAATTAGGCTTTTCTGAGTCATCTGCATTGGGTTTACAAGCATTCCAAACCTGCAAGCCATTGCATAATGTTAGGGCAAAATAGAACTTTGCTAACATACAAGAAGTATCCAGACAACAACTACGACGACGACAACAACAACAACAACAACAACGTTACCCTAGTGCCTCAAAGGCTCCCATCCATTGTGGGGTAAGGGGGGTCGGATGTACGCAGCCTGACCCCTATATTTAAAAGATAGAGCGACTATTTCCAAATGAGCCATGATGAGCATCGACACACACACACAGACACAGACGTCTTTAGCACTCTTGGAATCTTTGAGACACCTTGGGTTGACTTATTCATTAAATGAAGGTTAAAGAAATTGGGGTTAGGTTGCATACATCTTGACCCCTTGACCCTAATAGAGTTGTGATTATAAGGAGTTTGTTGTTGTGACATACCCATGCCATAGGCCATACCCAAATTTTATACTCCCTCCGATATCTTTATTCTCGTTTTTCTTTTTGGGTTGTCCAATATCTTTCTTCCCGTTTCCATAAATGGCAACTAATTATTAGAGAATGGCATTTATGCACTTTGTCAACTCTTTACTATTAACATCTCTCCGGAACTTCTTTTTCTCCATGTGGCGGCGAAGGCATTCCATCCGGCAGCAAGGCACTCCATGCAGCGGTGAAAGCACTCCAGTCTCCAGGCGACGGTGAAGGGTTTTGGATTAGATCTAGGCGCTTGAAGAGGACAAGATCTGGGTGGCAAAGGATTAGATCTTAAGCAAAACAACTGGTGCTTCAAGAGGACAAAATCTCGCTAAAACCACAAAGAGAAACCTGTGTCGTCAACTCTGATTGGCGCAACGTCGGGAACTTCAAAGCAGAAAAGGTGGTGCCGCAGAGATTGCACTTGAGCTTCACAGATTTGGGGATGTTCATTTCTAGGTTTGGATCAAAATGGGGTCAGGGGAAACACTTCTCTTTTGTTCTTCTCTTGAACCTTCTTTTTGTTTAGGGCAATTTTAAAAAATCAAAGGAGTTCTTGTTTTACACTAGAAACAATGTCAAGTCAAACCGAGAAGAAACTTACTGGATGGAGGGAGTATAATTTTCATACTTATACATGTACCTATGCCCGGTGAGTAACAATCTATGCAACATAGATAAACATTCTTGAGCAATGAGAAATAGAGAAGATATACAACATAATTCACAGAGGTTAGTTACCCGTGCAAGAGAGTCTGAACTGCCGGTAACAAAAAAGGTTCCACTAGCATTGAATGCACAGCAGAAGATCTGGTGGCTTTGTACAAGAGTGCTTGATCCTATGACCAAATAAGCATATTCCCAACTAAGCTTCCTACCAAATTCAGTAACTGCGAATGTTGTTTAAAAAAGCAAAATCATACCGGCAACTGATTCTGGTGGTTTTGGAACATACAGCCGTGGGCTATATTGGGAATGCCTAGCATCCCAAATTCGGCATGTTCCATCATCAGATGACCTGTAAAGCCAGCAGTAGCGTGATCAGAAAAAAGAGAATTGAAGGTTCGAGCGCGGAACCAGAGGCACAATGTGTTAGAAACTACGATGTAACTATCTATTAGCTGCAGCTCCCCCTGCCCCCAAAGGATGACACAATCTCATGGAAGAAGCATTATGAAAGAACTAGTGTCAGCTTGAACCTTGCAGTTCAAGAAGGACAAGTATAGAACTCATCCACTTCATGAGTTGGCCAGAACTAAAGTCAGTAAAACATCTAGGGAATCTCGATTGGAGCCTTCTGTAGTCAGTCCCTTAATTGGCTTAGACCACAAATATTTGTAAGTAATGCCGATAAATGTGTATGTAGCAGCCACAGGCTATACCAGTTTCAGCAATATGAAAATGAAAGTTTAATATATAAATCAAATTAGCAGATCAAAGGATATTCAAAAGGTTTCTTGTAAAAGAAATTAGCTTACGATAGGAGCTGATAAACAGAACCATGTCTTGGACTAAATGCAATAGCAGTCACTGCAGCTGAATGCCCACGCAATACAGAAATTGGCAACCCATCAGGTAAGCGCCACTGAAAAGAGATATCAATAATGTTTATACACTCGGTTACAGATATGCATCATATAGGCTAACTTCAAAAAAAAAGTATATTACAACTCGGATGATATAGTCATTTGAAGCAGATGCCACCAAAGTGTTGTTGAAATTGACAGCCAGATCTGTAATATCACCCTTGAAGTAAAACACATATCATGTCAGCTCAAATGCAAACAGTCAAAAAATAAAATGATTCAGAGATCACTCTTACTTCATGCCCTCGGCAGCTGGCTAAGCAATATGCAGTTTCCATCGACCATATTTTGACAAGACGATCATCTGAACCAGTGATGACATATCTCCCAGACCGATCAAATATAGCTGCAGCAAAACAAGCTGTATTATAAATGTTGAAGGGTATAATTTCAATTAACATACAGTAAACTAAATGTGACATGGAATGCCGTTGTAAAAAAGAAATTAGGGCGTTGGAGCTTGGATTTTTATATTGAGCACATGGTGCGAGACAGAAAAGAGTGGAAAATGAAGATAGAAGTGGATAACGAATAACCTCGAGTGATTGGAGTTTTTCTATTGGTTCATGTAGCAAACCCGGGAAGCTTGGTTGTTGTTGTATAGACTATAGATTACCTCAACGATATACGAAAGTTCAACCTATTAATGTTAAATAAGGGGTCAAAAGGACTAATCGGAAAGCTTGAAATGCTCTAATTTTTCATCATTGTGCCACAATCACATTTCAGAAGAAAATTTGAAACAAAATTGTGATGGAAGACATTAAAAATTTTGGCAGACTATTAACAAATACAAGTTTCACTTGTTTCATTCACCAGGATAAAGAAGTCAGATTTCACAAAAACAAGTTTAACTTGTTTCTAGCTCTTATTGAGGATATGACTTATGGCCTTAGATAGAAATGTTTGGAGATCTAGGAGAAGGGTTGTTAGTTAGTTGTTTGGACCGGGGTGGGTAGTTTTGTTCTTGTCGTTGTGTGCTTTGTAGGCTTGGAATTTTTCTCCTTACATTTCTTTGTGTGCCTTTTGCCTTATAGCGCTTTTCCTACCACGAGTTTGCTCTTTGATTTTTTTGTTGAACTAGCTGTCCTCCGTGTTGCTTGAGCTAGGGGTCAACAGCCTCTCTACTTTCAGTAGGGGTAAGAGGCAAGGTCTGCGTGCACACATCCTCCTCAGACCCTGCTTGTGCAGAACTCTATTGGGTCATTGTTGTTGTAAACATTAACTCTATGTTTGGTTCAAGGAATTTGAAAGGGAAAAGAAAAGAAAATGAAGTGGAAAATAGTTTTTCATGTTTGGTTATATGGGAAAAGAAAGGAAAAGTGGAAGGAAAAGAAAATGAGAAGGCAAAATATACCAAGTGGAGGGAAAATCAAATTCCTCCCATTTTGGTGAGGAAAATGAGAGAAAACCATTTTCTTTTCTTTTCTTTCCAAATTCCTTGAACCAAACATAGTGTAATAGCTCTAAGAATTACTCCCTGTGTCCCAATTTAATAGTCCAAATTTTTCAGCACGGAGTTTAAGAAAAGTGAAATTATGTGGTTGAAAGTGATGCAGGGGAGAGAGAAAATATGAGCCCCAAAAATCTTTCCAGCAGTGGAAAGAGGACTACTTTTTGGGACGTCCCAAAAGGAAATGGGGACTACTAATTTGGGAAAGAGGGAATATAAATTATCTTACCACAATAAACAGCATTGCGATGCCCTCTGACTTTCTTAATATTTTCCATCTTCTGCACCATTGTAGATGGTTTTGCAATGGCATAACATGCAGCACGATTAGATGGTGCACGGTGATGTCTAGCAAAGCCACCACCAATCTCTCTCAAACTTAGTCCACGCACTTGATCTGCTTGCATGTGTGGCCAACGAAGGTGAGTTGGAGGGTGTACCACATCATCGTCCCTCTTATTCTGATCACCTGAGGGAGGAAAAGAGGGGAGAAAGAGCCAAGAGGAGGCATTAAATTTCACCAGACCAACAACTCATCGTAAAAAAGGGTGATAAATAGGCAAAATCAGGAAATTAAGTTTTCGTACTACTCAGCAGTGAAAAGGAATTAGTTCCTAAGAGGGTTGGAACAGTTGCAGCATTTATAGTGTTTCCACCAATTGCATCACATGAAGGAACTGATGCACTCAACAGCAGTTGCTTCAAAAGCTTCACTAAGTGATCCTTTTCAACATGTGGATACCTGCACAAAGAAAACCAATTAACATCCATCATGTGTACAACACAAGGATATTTACTTAAATTACTTGGTATAAAAAAACAAAGAAGTCAAAGTAATATATACATCCATAAGGTATGGTTAACAGTAGTTATTAAACAAAAAAAGGTCCATACACTACTCAGCCCTTTGACATCGGGAATTGAGACTTAAGTATTTTACATCTTGTAAAACCACGACAGAAATGCAATTTTAACTATCCGAGAATTACCATGCAATATTCTCTTCTTCTTCTTTTGAACATTTGAATGCTATATATGCTCAGGAAGAAAAAAAATAAACTATGAATATAGAAGATTACCTTTCCACAAGCTTACTGTAACTTAATGGAAAAGACATGCCATCATCATTTTCATCCCCGCTTTGTTTCCCACTCCTTGAATACCATGAATGATATCTTCGGGGTAAAAGTTGATTCTCCAGAAGTTCATTCCAAAACTGTCCATAAGTTTTGTGGCAAGGTCCCATTGATAGGAAATGCATAATTAAAAAATAGACCTCTCCCATGTCAATATCAATACCAGCCTCAGTTAGTTCCAAAGAATGAGATTTCTCTTTTGCCTTACTGGAGAACCCTAATGATTTCATATTCCCAGCAGGGGAATCACGAGGTGGAATGCCCTTTCGAAAATCCATTTTATCTCACAAGACCTGGAAAGCAACAATATAAATTTAAATTTCCACAAACCATCAAAACCCAAACATTTAACAAATGAGATGAAAACATTAATCAACTGTTAAAGGTTTGCTATGAAGAATTAAAACAATAATCATCTAGCGACTGTAACTCCAGTAACAGCACTTATTGATTGATATCCTCACTATGCAAGATCCATAAATAAATGAAGGGATGTTTATAGGATGCTAGACTATGATATCCTTGATTGAGATTATTCAACTTTAATCAGGGGTATAGCTACGATGAACTCAGTAATTGATCAGAATTCAGAAAGAATCACATGTTTCTTACATTTATATCAAAACATGAACAACCAATTGATTACAATCTACACGGTTTGTTTAGACCACAAAACCTAAATCATGAATTGGCATAGAACTATTACGTGCTTGAAAAAGCAATGTGTTCCCAAGGGAGGGGCATTGAAAGATCTTCCCATTGGCAGTGGGCACAATCAACTTCCTTTTTGACTTATAAATGATCCATAAAGCTCTAATCTGATGTTTGTCCAAACTATAACAACCCATTACAATCCAAACTCAGTTAGGGATCTGGGACTCAGCCTTACCCTTGTAAAAATAGAGAGGTTGTTTTCATCAGACCCTTGATGCATTCATGCATTTACTATTTGAAACTTCAAACAAAGCAAGAAGCAAGGAAATTTTAATGTGACATGTTTTATTTTGTCCATCATTTACCTGAAGCTTAAACATTGTCAATAACAAATCCTTTGTCTAAATTAACAACAATTTAAAGCACTTCTTTCTATAGGTTGAGTCTCTGCAGTTATATTGGAATAAGTCTTCTGAGAATCTGATATACCTATCTATGCATTTTCAAATCTCTTCATCTTTCTAAAATACTATTCCCACTAGTAACTTGGCAGTTGGCACTGACCAAATTTTACGGGGGCTAGTTCAGCACACACCAATATTGTGGAACAATAAAAAATGAGTACTTCACTCATGCTGCATTATGCTTTCAACAGAAACCCTAATTACAATATCTCTATTATTAATTAAAATATCGTCTGGGAGAATATATTGTTGGGATACAAACCACTTCACACACCATATGGAGAAGGAAATTTCGACTTAGATATAAGATTCAACCCATCTCCGGAGTATGAGGCCTTTTAGGAGGTGCCCAATATATAAATCCAATTAATGAATCCGTGAGTGCTTGACCCAAAAGGACAATTATATGGATTTAGTGATACGCACAGTTCCAACATATATTAACCTAAAAATGCCAACAAATCCTACGTTCAGTAGCTAACGAATAAAGGGAAACAACTTGCATACATTCACTGATGAATGCAGAAATCCGGGTATGCTATTTTACCTAGAAAACAATGAATAGACCATCAAACAGCTGATAGCTCCTACCTTCGTTATTAACCCGATGGGGAATAGCCGGAAACTCTGAGCTCGGCTACAATATTCCTTGACAGGGGACACCCCATAACCGACTGTTACACTGTGACATTCAAACGCAAATCCATCAAATCCCAAATCATTCAAGAACTCAAACTACCACCCGCCACAGAGGAATACAAAATAATCAACCGAGTAACCCAAACAGGGCCGGAATCAAGATCCAATTACATGCCACCGGCAACAGACGAAAACAAAAACACATTTTTCATGCACTGCCAGAATTAGAAACTGAAATTCGCACCTGTGAGGCGGCAGAACCGCCGTATCCCAATTGTCCGGGAGAAATCTCCGGCGGAGCGAGAATAGCTGCGGGAATGGGAGGAATTGGAAAATTGTCTTCGCAAAGACTGGATGGAAACACGGAGTATGATTTATTCAACCAATATAGAATTCCTTGCGAGGAAACCGAAGGGTTTTGGGTATATGGTGGAGGGGGAGATTTGAGTGTTCTGCAGTGCTGAAAGTTGAGAGTGGGCTGATAATCTTCGGCTATGGTTGATGAACAGAAGGAGAAGGAGAGAAGAAAGGGGTTGGAGTTATAAATGTTTGCATTTTATACCCTGGTAATCTTTCTTTGAGCCCCACTTTTGCAAATTAATTACCCCTCACTCATTGAGTTTAGAAATTAGATTTATTTATTTATTTATTGAAATTAACTTGTATCCAATCATATAAAATATTACCTCTCTCCTAGAATATTTGTTCGATTTTAACCTTTTTCAGTCAATCGCTTTTAACATTTGATCTATAATTAAATAAAATATATATTGTATATTAATTATATAAAATAATTTTTTGAAAATATTTTATATAATCAATCTAATAAAAGTACTTTTTATATCAATATCTAGTACGAGTATCATTTTTATTTAATTTGGGGTTAGAACTTACCAATTTTAACACAAAAAGTCAAAATATAGTCAAATATTCTGGAATGGACAAAGTATAAAATATGAATCTGAAAAAAATAACGTATGAAATAATGTTCAGGGTGAGGCAAACACTATCGAGTCTCTAAAGCTCCGAGAAGAATGAGATGCACGCACTACCAAATGCGCTGCCTCATTAGCAGAGCGAGGAACAAATTGAAATTGAAAATCTCCGCCACAAAGAGCACAAAAATCTTTACAATTATCAATAGTAGGGATAAAATAAGACCAATCACTCGACAAAGGTTTATTTAACTACCAAAATTTAGTTAACTATTGAGATCAGTATAAGAGTTGTTCTTAGTGAGGCAATAACATGGTGTGCTTTAAAAGATTGTTGTGTATGAACAAAGACTACCTTTTATTAGAATTATTAGTGTTAAAAAAGTCTATTAAACTAAAAAGAGTTGAAAATATAAGAAAAAGTGAAAAGTATTGAAGCTTCATATTTTTATTCACAATAGATTTTCTAACACTATTTTTATTCATTCTAAATAAGATTTTTAAAAAAATTTTATATTTAAGATAATTTTTGTCTCTTTTTATTTTTTGAGTTCAACCCATTATTAATTTTTCTTATACTCGGTACATTTTAAAAAATTATCAATTATACAATTTTTATTTCTTAATTTAATTTACATGTCATTATTCCATGTTTCAAAAGTAGTAGATAAATGCAGCAATACTTTTTAGTAGTCTTTATTGACATAAACAAATATAAATAATCCAGAATTATCTTGATAAACAAAAATAATCCAACACAACACCTTTACACTAGAATAATTACAAATTGTGATATAACTCACAAAATAACCCACAAAAAATCATCACTTTATTTCAAAAATAAGACAGAGTAAATAAACTTTTACATTATGAAAAAGAAAAAATGACCCAAATAAATTTGATAAAAAAATCTTGTCTTTGTCTGTGTTTTAGAGTTCGTATATTATACATTCAGATGTACAGTGTTATTGTATATTCATATTATGTACGAAGTAGATTACAAGTTACACAATACTTATTTCATACACTGTTTTTATACTGTATATTTTAAGCAGGCACATCATAAAAGTAGTGTATTTAATTGGCTACGTTAATTTTATGTCTGAATACTTTTGTTTTTGTTGCTAAAAATAATTTTGCTCAACGAAAACATATTATATGTTATTTCAAAATTATAAAGTGTAATTTTAAATAGATTATTTTATAACAAAAATAAAAAAATCAGTTATAAACAATTATAATAGAGTAATTAAGAAACACATAATTTGTTACAAAATTATCAACAATACTTTATTTCGTTCTGTGTTGATAGCTTCCATGAAGCATGTGTCGATCGTGAAAGTCATTTATTACTTTCTATATCAGACTAATAACCAAGCCCGATTACAAATGAGTGTCTCCAGTGGCTCGCCACTCAATTGTGCACCACAATCGACCAATGTATTTCCGCTTGAACTAAACTCTTGCTTAAGTGCAACTATAGAAATTGGCATGGACTAAACTTGCTTTGCGAATGTAGACATAAAAAAGAACATGGATTGTTGAGGTTTCGTCAACATTAGACATGCGACCACAGGTTTGGGAGCTCAAACCCAGAGAAAAATAAATAAAATCTCTTTTTTCGAGAACATTCCAAACTACGGATATCACGGGCTTACGTGCACCCGACATTTTTTATGTGTACTTCATAATCATATTCATATAAATTATAAATGAGAATATAATAATATAAGAAGTGAAAATTGAGAATTTGAGACTAGAAGGATGAAAGAATACTAAAGATTAAAGAGGGTAGAGAATAGAGATTGTTGTGTGAAATTGAAAGAGATTTAAGAGGTGTTTATAGGGGGGAAAGTTACCCCCACCCTGGCCACTTTATAGTTGTAGGAATTTGGAAACAAGTATATAGCCATTCAACGTGGATGCAGCAACCCTGCAACAGTCGGCAGCCGGCACTCAGCAGCCAGGAAAAAAAATAGAACCAGTACCAGACTGGCCGTTCTGGTACCTAATTTTAGGTAACTGGAACTGGTTCTTGTAGGGTACCCACCCCCCACCCCCGGTTCAGTTTCAGAACCGACGGGTCTGATTCCAAACTTTTAGATTTTTGGGAGGAACTGCATAAGCATCATAATTTTGTTCAAATGCAGAAGCAGGAAAAGGCAGTATGTAAAGTCTGCATTTGAACTTGGGTCACATATTGCTATATTAGCAGGTACTTCAACTAAAAGTGCAGTTAGAAAATGTAAGCACTGTGAGTACATTTCTTTGACAGAACAATTTGAGCAGGCTGATATATACATTTCGATAATCAAAGCTTCAAGAGCTCAAACTCGAGGACAACAATAGAACAAAAGAACAAAAAAAAAGTCAGGTGTTTGCTAGCGTGGGACTAAACTGGTAATGGTAATCTCATTTGTTGATTCAGCTTTGTCATAAAAAGTGGTATTGTCTTCTGTGAAAAAACCTGGTTGTTTACATTGGGGCAAAACACCTTCATTATTTAACATTAGGATGACTGAAGACATGTTTGGCCTGTCTTCTGGTCGCTGTTGCACGCATAATAGAGCCACATGAATTGACCGAAGAACTTCAGATGCTGAAAGAGATGGTGTGTCCCTTAGATGAGGCTCTACTAAATCAATTGACCTACACTCTCTATGCAGATTCCAAGCCTACATACAAGTACAATTGTGTTAGCTAGTGAACTTAAAATTTTTTGCAACTTCTAATGCTTACATGTCCAACAAGGTTGACATCACTATCTGGATGACAAAATTTTGTATTCCTCTTCCCAGTTACAATCTCCAATACCAATACGCCAAAGCTGAAGACATCAGACTTTACTGAGTAGAGCCCTCGGGCTGCATATTCCGGTGAGATGTAGCCACTGCAACAAAGAATGTACCGAAATGTTACAAAAGTTAATATGCAGAATATGAAATGACCTTAAGATTCTTACTATGTTCCAACAATTGTGTTTGTCTTGGCTTCTATCTCGTTCCCTCCAAAAGATCTCGCTATTCCAAAATCTGATATCTTCGGTTCCATGTCAGAATCCAACAGAATGTTGCTGGCTTTTAGATCTCTATGAATGATTCTTAGCCGTGAATCGTGATGTAGATATGTAAGTCCTCGAGCAACCCCATTGATGATTTGGAAGCGCTTTGGCCAATCTAAATGTCTACTTTGTGCTTCATCTGCAAAAAAAGTCATATAGGGTTACCATTATTGTGCCAACAGTATTACACATTATTTCTGTATTGTAATGTAACCGATGCTTGGCAAAAAAAATATGGATAAATAATCACGTACACCATTAAAAGGTTTTATTGACAACATTTTGAACCTATTATTTTCTATTATCTTAAAACAAATGATGATACTCATGATTGCATCAATTCCATAAAGACCTCACCAAATATGAATGTGTCAAGACTTCCATTTGGCATGAATTCATAGACCAACAATTTATCATCTCCTTCAATGCAGCATCCAAGCATCCTTACTAGATTCCGATGTTGGAGTTTAGCAATGCATAGTACTTCATTCTTGAACTCACCGTGTCCTTGAGTAGAAGTTTTCGAAAGCCGCTTCACAGCTATTTCATGTCCATTATCTAGCATGCCCTAAAGAAATTATGTATTGATTGATGGGGTCGAGAATCAAGAACTTTTTGCAGAAAGTATATGAAAGACATTCATGTATTCAAGATTTACTACTGCTTCTTGATGATAAAAACGAAAGTCATGCTTGCCTTGTGAACAGGCCCATATCCACCCTCTCCGATCTTGCTCTTTGTAGAAAAACTGTCAGTAGCCTTAATCAGTGTGGAAAAGTCAAACAGGGGTAGCTCAAACTCATCATTGTTGCTTTCGTTGTTATGCATTCGCATTACTAAAATTTGATAGGCATCGCTTTAGTGTGAGATAAGTGAACCAAGTTAATAAAAATGATGTATTGGGCACATATTATATCCTCTATTCAGCAGAAATTGGGATGCGCATGACTTACCTTCATGTTTCGGCTCTGAATGTTTCCTCCATCTTATATAGGACGCCACAATAACCAGAGTCAGCATAAGTACTCCAGCCACTGGTAACAAAGTAATAATGAGTATCTTTCGTTTCTTTTCACTTGAACTGAGCTTGGATACTGCAAAGTTTAATACAAGAAAATGAATATGGGCTACAACCCCAAATATTTCTGTGAACCAGGGCTCTATCATTAAGTTAACAGTGTTTCTCACATTATGCTAATGCAGATTCATTGAAATATACCGGTAACAATGGAATTACAGAGATCAAGATTAAATAGCCTGGTCACTTGGAATTAGCCTTGCCAGTGTCCTTACAACCAGTGCTGCACGTGGAATGCGATCACGGCATCACACGAGAGCTGATGATGGGATTTGGAAGAACAGATCTCTGTGGCTACCTCGATATACCCATGACCCATCACAGATCAAAGCTAAATTCTTGAAACTGATGTTTAAGATTTTAGCATCCATAATCTTTGGCAGTTAAGTTATATGAAAGAATCAAGCTTCGTCTCAATTTGGACAACAATTATCATATGTGCTTATGTTTTGAAGCATGGACTGTTGATAAAGCAAATAATATATTACCTAACTCCGGAGCTGCAAGCCTGATATATATGTCTTGCCCTTCTTTTGCAGCTAATCTAATGTCTAGCAGATCACCAAACCACATGAAGCACCCATTTCGTACCTCTAAGTTTGAGTAAGCCATACAAGTGCAATTCTTTAAGCAGCGTGCATTGCACTCTTGGAGTGTCATCGTCTGATTGAACCAAACATTCTTCGTGTCTGGCAATTTGATGCCAGAGTACTTCAGAAACCCATCTCCATTGCAACTCAGACGCATCCTCCTTACACAACCGCCGGACCAATCTCCCTTGACCCAATCACTTGGCTTCTTTGGCACAAACCTGTCAAGACATCCACACAAAGGAGAGCTCTGAATGCTGCATTGCCCGTTCGCGCCACAAAGCTTATATGTATCACATGTGTCTGTGGGTACAGAGAGGTAAATAGTCCAACTCTGAGTCCGAGGAACCCATATCGTGCGCTCCAGCACTCCGTTTCGGTTCAATGTAGCCCGTGTTAGAACCGAATCCAGAAGCTGGTTAGTGAAGTACGCTTCTGTCTGGTTAAAAACAAACCCGATTTCATAGAAAGGACTCTTTCTTGAGTTGGGTGAGCCGCTAAACTGTAATCCAGTCCACGGGCCAGATCTATACACCACAACTGAACCCTTCTTAATGAAATTCTGTGGATACCCATCCAAACTCATGGAATATGTATAATCCCCTGTCCCTGGATCCTCGCTGCTCTTCCAAGATGTGAGATATATGTCGTGCCCAGTTAACAAGTTCCGCCCTATATTCATCCCAGGCAAGTACGTATCCGTCGGGTAATCAAAGCTCTGCCATAGAAAATCCGTCTCTCCATAGCCATCCCTGAACACCAAATTCCCGGAGTCCAGAAGCTGCGCGACGGGATTTCGGGCAGATCTGGAGGAATTAATCGACCAAACGGTGCGATTTGATGCTCCATCCAGAAGAACTAGGGATCCGGGTTTGACGATTCTGAGGACTCCAAACGTTGCGTTGAGAGGGATCTGGCGATTGGCAACCCACACAACTGTTCTAGGAGACACGTTATTGTACCATACCCCGACGTATCGGTTCCGGGACTGGCCTGGACTGAAGAATCCGAGCTCGAAGGTTCCATTGGAGGAAACAATGGCGGTCTCTCCATCTCCATCTCTCAGGGACAGAGTTGCGGTTATTGTGTCAGTCTTTGCGCACGAGATCTGGTAAAAGGGAAGAAGGAACAAGTGCAGGAGGAAGAAGAAGAAGAATATGGAGGAAATACATGCAACCATACTCTGCACGCTTGCAAGTCTTCGAAGGTCAGAGAGAGTTGCCCAATTATGACTCGTCAGTGATTTACTCCGTAGCAATTAGGGGGGCACGAATCGTTCCGCTTTCATTTCCTTTTTCTTGTGGACTTTTACTTGTACCCCAGGTTTTGACTCGGTTTTGACTTTGATTTGATTGGGTTGAGGAATTAAACACACAACACACAAATAATTATAAAAACAGAACACAGACATAAGAATTTAACTGTTAGCGTTATTTATGTATATTAGTTCATATTGTATTATCGTGTATATTGGGCTAGTCATGTTGGGCCCGTAACTCTTGTATATATACTGTGACATATCAAGGAAATAATCAAGCAATTCAGTTCATAATATTCTACATGGTATCAGAGCACATATGCAACCGTGTGAGACACAATGCTAGGTTGAATAAATTCATCAACACTGTTGAAGATCCAACTCCAAATTATTTGATTGTTGGCACACCATGCAGACAATTCATTCTCATCGGTTGGTTGGGGAATACCACCGGGGGACAGAAAAATAGATTTGCCACGACCACCAAGTGCATTACGTATTGCCTTTTCCCAAATATCAAAATTATCACTTTTCAAAAGATATTTGGTCAAGGAATTACCGGGACCTTTGGAGGGGTGAAGATAATACACGGACGACGGATCATGAATCAATCGAGTCTTCTTAGGGTTTGAGTTCCCTTCGGCTGACATGTTGATGCACAATCAGAGACAAACACGAGGCGACGACGGAGGGCTTACTGGTCCAGCGACGACGTAGGACGACAACGGACTTGACAACTGACTTGCCAGCGACGATGACCGGTCGGTGACTGGACGGATGGAGCGACGACGACAAGCGGAAACGGAGCCCTAGGGTTTTACGATACTTCCCAGAAAAGGCTCTGATACCAGAAAAGTCATAAAAGTTGTTCGTTCTGATAATGGCACTGAGTTTCTAAATACATCTTTACGCCATTATTACAACTCTATGGGTGTATGTATACAAACTTCATGTGTGGGTACTCCACAACAGAATGGTCGGGTAGAGCGTAAACACCGTCACATTTTGAATGCTGCTCGCTCTCTCATGTTTCAGGTCTCTTTACTAGTTGAATTTTGGGGGGAATGTTTCAAAACAGCAATATATTTAATCAACCGTACCCCCACTAAACTTCTTGGAGGTAAATCCCCGTTGGAAATTCTCTCTTCCAAGCCTCAAGATTTAAGCCATCTCCGTGTCTTCGGTTGTCTGTGCTATGTTCGTCTCAGTCCCAAACCCACAAATAAATTCTCCCCTCGTAGTGTCAAATGCATGTTCGTTGGATATCCCTATGGCACAAAGGGGTGGCGTGTCTATAATCTTGACACACATTAGTTTTTTCACACCCGGGATGTTGTCTTTGACGAAAGTCAATTCCCGTTCTCCGTCCCGACATCTTCGTCTTCTTCCAGTTCTACACCTGTTCTCAATCCTTCCGCCGAGGATTTCCCTACCGTCACCCCCAATCCTCCGTCTCGGTCTCCCACCCCTACCCCCGTCACTGCCCAGCTTACGCCAGACAATCCCCTGCCGTCCCCGACTCCCTCTCCGTCGCCGACCAGTGACGGGTCCTCAGCTAGTCCATCCTCTTCTTCGAGGGAGACTACTTCTCCCTCCGTTTCTCCAGCCCCTTTACCCCCACGTACTCGTCGTTTACCCGCTCTTCTCAATACCTATGTCCTTCATTCCGCAAAGGTCGATAGCCCGCTTCCCTCTTCATCCGGTTCGGTCTCGTTAGGTACTCGATTTCCGATTACTAACTTTGTTCATTATGATAAGTTGCATGACAGGTACAGAGGTTTTCTTGGTGCAATTGATACTTCCTCGGTTCCTAAGAATTTTAAGGAAGCTGTCCAGTTTGCTTCTTGGAGGGAAGCTATGGCGCAGGAGTTCAATGCTTTGGTAAGGAACCATACTTGGGACATTACTACACTACCACCTTATCGTAGGGCTCTTGGGTGTTAATGGGTATTTCGCACCAAATGCAAATTTGATGGCACCAAAGAACGAGACAAAGCTCGTTTGGTGGTATTGGGGAACCACCAGGAGCTTGGTATTGATTTCACTGACACCTTTGCCCCTGTGGCCAAGTTGGCTACTGTTCGGGTTTTACTTTCTGTTGCTGTTGCTCGTGGTTGGCAGGTTGATCAGCTCGATGTAAATAATGCCTTCTTGCATGGGGATCTTCGTGAGGAGGTTTATATGAAGGTTCCTCCAGGTTATGCTCACTTATTTCCTGGGAAGGTTTGTCGTTTTCGGAAGTCGCTATATGGGCTTCGTCAGTCTCCCCGTAACTGGTTTGCTAAGCTTCGCCTAGCGCTACGTAGCTATGGGTTTCGTCAGGCCCATGCTGATCATACTCTTTTTGTTATGAGTCGCGGCCCTGATATGCTTGTGGTTCTGGTATATGTTGATGATATTCTTGTTGCAGGTAATAATCCTTCCATGTGCTCCTCTTTCAAACGATATTTGGATGAGTGTTTTCGGCTCAAAGATCTCGACCCAGTCTCTTATTTTTTGGGTATTGAATGTGCCCGTAACTCTTCTGGTATGGTCCTTAATCAACGTAAGTATACTCTTGACATTATTCAAGAGCACAATTTGTCCGGTTGTAAGCCTGCTGAAACTCCCATGCCAAGCGCGCATAATCTTGCTCGGTCTACTAGTGCCGCGCTCCGAGATCCGGCGAAGTACCGGCGGCTTGTTGGCCTTCTACTGTACTTGACCATTACTCGGCCTGATATTTGTTATGTTGTCCATACTTTATCTCAGTTTATGCAGTCCCCACAGCTAGATCATTGGAATGCAACCCTGCGTGTACTTCGCTATCTCAAGGGGCATCCAGGACAGGGTATTCTTTTACGAAGTGACAGTGATCTTGCATTAACTGTTTTTTCTGATTCCGATTGGGCGAGTTGCCCGATAACCCGACGGTCTGTGACAGGTTATTTTGTTTTGCTTGGTGGTTCTCCCATTTCTTGGCGAACTAAAAAGCAAACTACAGTTTCTCGTTCATCCGCAGAGGCAGAGTATCGTGCCATGGCTAATGCTTGTGCAGAGATCCGGTGGCTTAGAGGTTTGCTTGCTGCACTCGCCGTTCCCTGTGTTGGTGTTCCTCGATTGTATTGTGACAACAAATCTGCCCTCTTCATTGCTGCGAATCCAGTTTTCCATGAACGGTCTAAGCACATTGATATCGACTGCCATATTATCCGAGAGTGTATTCAGCGTGGTCATGTTGCTACTGCCTACGTCCCTACACGGTTGCAAACTGCAGATATTTTCACGAAGGCACTACCTACCGGCACCACTTTTCCGCTCTCTTTTATCCAAGTTGGGCATTTTCGATGTTCATGCTCCAACTTGAGGGGGAGTGTTAGCGTTATTTATGTATATTAGTTCATATTGTATTATTGTGTATATTGGGCTAGTCATGTTGGGCCCGTAACTCTTGTATATATACTGTGACATATCAAGGAAATAATCAAGCAATTCAGTTCATAATATTCTACATTAACGTGGTTCAGTTTTCCTACCTCACGGCTGCAACATGAGGATTTTCTATTTCAATTCTCACGGAATTACAAGTACAAGGTGTGTATATATAGGAAAACACCTAGGGTTACGAAACTTGTTCTCCAAAAAACAAGAAACAAACGGGCTAAAAAATAAGGAATCTAAATTTTAAAAATAATGATTTTTTAATTCATACAGTATCAGACTTTATATATTACAAAAGGTATTGTGAAATTTCTGTATATAGTACCACATTACTACAATACAAACTTCTATTGTTAGAATTAAAACATGAAAAATTTTATTTTGACACTTTCTCTAAGATTTACTCATCTTAATGTTGATTTCTTAAATAAGTAAGTAAATCTAATTACTTTTTAGCTTATACTACGTAGATGAGTATATAAGTAGAGATAAACATATTATATGCTGACTTATAATTGCTTTTGACCAACTTATAAGTACATAAAATTAACACTAATCTTCTAAACATTTTAATTACTCCGTATATTTTTTGAAATAGAATTTAAAAAAATATTTTTGATTTCTGTATAAGAAAATTATAGGTAGTACTCCCTCCGTCCTCCAATATTTGTCCACTTTCATTTTTGCACAACATTCAATGCACTTTTTTAATCCATTTTATCTTGTAATTTGTATATTAAAAAATTATAGAAATTATATATTAATAATCTATATGTTAAGACAAATCAAACAAGATCACACATGACTATATTTAGGCTTATACATTGAGAAAATTTGATGAGTCAAAGTGATTAAATGAACAGTTCCAAAAGTCAAAACTGAACAAATATTGGGGGACGGAGGGAGCACGTACTAAAAAAATAGTGTAAATTTTAGTTTTAGCCTTTTAGCACAAAAGTACTCAAATAAAAAAGGGCGCTCCGTCACTGTGCCCAACCATTGTTCGCCACGTTAAGTAATGACGCGTTACTGAACTTTCTCACCCGACATTCTCTCTCTAAAAGCATCGGAATGCGCCTTTTATGATCTAGAGTTTCAGTTGGGAACGAAACTGATTTTTCCGTCGGCGAAGTATAATCGGCCGAGGTCGGATCTACTGCCATAGCAGACGGCGATCGGTGGCGGAGGATGGCGGAAGACAAATACAATCTAAAGAACCCGGCCGTGAAGAGGATTCTTCAGGAGGTGAAAGAGATGCAGGCTAATCCATCCGATGATTTCATGAGCCTCCCTCTCGAGGTAATTTTCTATCTTAAAAACGGTATTCGTTTTGTACTTAGTGGTTGATTGATAGACTGTTTAGTTTTGGATTTGTTATTGGTTTAGAAATGAGTTTTCACGCTTTTAGGATATGATATGAAATGATTATACAACATACGTTGTTATATTGATATGATATCATACAAATTCTCTCATAGAAGACAAATTTCTCTTCGATCTGTCTGACTCTCGTGGCAATTGTGCTTTTGTGGATATAACAACCATCATTTCCAACCTCTAGATTAGTCTTTTTGTTAATCAAGCTGCGTGCAAGTTGAGATTAAATGAGAAATTGAAGAATCTGTTTCAATTAGTGTCGTCAATTGAGCCGAGTTGATCTCAAGTGTCATATAATCGGCCTCGGCGTGAGCTAACACTATAAAGAATTCAAGCTCATATTTGGGATTGAGATCGATTTGAAACACTCATTTATGACCCATACTTGAGTCAAACCCGGTAATCAAGATTACATGACCTAGAGCTCGACCATGAAGATGCCCAAAGTTATATGATGATAATTTTGCAGGAAACCTTTGGTGTCATTGTATCATCTTAGGAAAAAGAGATTATTCTCCGTGAAGATGAAAAATTTGGTGTTGTTTTTCCTGTTTTAACTGTGGGCATTTTATGTTCATTGTTCAATTGTGTACATCTTAACTTTGAGATTTTGGAAGTGGTGTTGGTCTTAATAATTGTGTACTTGTAATTGAGATGAGCATTCATGGAAATCATATCAGTTTCTCTTGTTAATTCATATGCATTGAAATTACTCTGTATTTTGTATGTTGCAGGAATATATGTAGTACATGAATGTTATAAAATTGTTATGTTATAATTTCGAATATAACTTTATGCTTCCTCAATATTGAGCTTGTGCATGTGAGCTTGATTACCAAGTTCGAGTTGAATACAAGCACTAAGTGATTGTTATCAAGACAATGTCAAGGCCAAATACAGGTTCGAGTTCCTTATCAAGCACGCCCAATTCAATTATATGATCCTCGAACTTGGCTCGAACTACATCACTACTTGGCAGTGCCGGGGTAATTGAGAAGGCCTGGATTTGACCCAATATTAGTTTTTTTTTGTGCCTAACCTAATGTAATGCCCCACTAATGAGGCCCTATTGAGTTTTCTGGGTCATACCAAGCCGGCTCGTTTAGTAAATTAAGTATTATACCAAGTTCGAGCTTGACTTGGTTGCAAACTTAAACCAAAATTAGGTTGATCATGAAGTAAGTCAAGAATTATACCGAGATTGAGCCGGTTGCTAACCTAAGCCAAGATTAGGTTGCTCGTTGAGTAAATCAAGTATTGCACCAAATTTGTGATTTTTGGGTTGGACCAGACCGTCTCGTTTAGTAAAAGTGCTAGTACAAGTGCATTGATAATCTATTTATAATATAATTACCATGTCATCATTGCCAGGCAACTAAAACCAACAATTTTATGCCTTTCAGGAGAATATATTTGAATGGCAATTTGCAGTCAGGGGCCCCAGTGATTCAGAGTTTGAAGGAGGAATTTATCACGGCCGAATCCAGTTGCCTGCTGAATATCCTTTCAAACCGCCATCTTTCATGCTTTTGACTGTATGGAACAATTGCTCATTTGATGTTTTATTGTTATATATTGAAATTTTATTCCCACCTATTTGAGGTTGTCAACGGAATGGAATTTTTCATAAGTTTGCTTTAGTTGTGTGCTAATGAGGATTGATTGTCATTTCAGCCCAATGGTCGTTTTGAGACTCAAACCAAGATTTGCTTGAGTATCTCAAATCACCACCCTGAGCACTGGCAGCCATCCTGGAGTGGTGAGTACTGAGTACATCATTAATTTTTTTCACAATCACAGTTTAATAACACGTGGGCTTTATCCTCAAACAATACTTATTGTGAAGTGAGAAAGTATACAAGAAGCTTTGAAGTATTGTGCTTGCCTTTATTGTTGTTCATGTAATTTCTTTATTTGATGTGAGTTTGTGTCAGATGTGAAACATGAACTAGTTCCTTACAGCTATTGTGTTCGTGTCTTGCAGTTCGGACTGCATTGGTTGCACTGATTGCATTCATGCCAACCAACCCAAATGGTGCCCTTGGATCATTGGACTACCCAAAGGAAGAAAGGCGTAATCTAGCAATAAAATCCCGTGAGGGTGCTCCAAAATTCGGGAACCCCGATCGCCAGAAGCTGATAGATGAGGTTTGTCTCTTTAGGAGCTAGTCTCTCCTAGAGTGAGGCCCAAGTTCTTTTCCTGTTCAGACCTGCCTTATTTAACTTACTCTTTGTTTGCTTGGTGGATTCTGGAAGGAGGCTATAATGAAAGTAAAACTAAGGGATCGTTCCACATGTGTCATTTGGCTGAAAATGTGAAATGCCTGAATCGGTTGAGTTTTATGAAAGCCAAATAAAGTCTCACTACCAAACTGGTTTTTCTTTTGGGACTACCAAACAGAGCTTTATTAAGAAGAACAATAAATATTGGTAAATAAGTAAAGCCAATTCCGTCCCTCCCCTCCAACTGACACTAGACCTTACATTTTTTTTTGCTCTGTCCTCAGATACATGAATACATGATAAGCAAGGCACCCCTGATTCCCCAAGCTAGCCCCACAGTCCCAGCCACTGAAGAAGAACAGGCCACAAACAGAGATGGTGAGGTCCCAGAAACTTCCCAGAACCCCATAACAGAGTCTGCCGAGGATGGGATCGTTGAAGAACAAGAAGAAGCCCGATTGGTTGCACATCCTGTGCAGACACCATCAAGAGCGGCCGCTCCCTCCGTACACCTCCACGAGCAGCGTGTACTACTGCACCAGCCCGAACATAGGGTACCCTCCGCCGGACCAGGCGATGAACGCATATTCACATGGGCAGCTGTGGGACTCAGCATTGCCATTATCGTTCTTCTTTTGAAGAAGTTCATGAAAGCCAGTGGACACGGCGTTGTCTTCATGGACGAGTCTTGAGATCTAAAGGTAAAATACTGTGTACATCTTGCCCCCCCCCCACCCCCACCCAAAGAACTCTACACTTGAATACTGGAGCAGTATATATTTTGCTAGACCAGAAAATGTGGGTAAACATGAATAATCCGTATACCTATCAGACTATCACTATAACTATATAAGCATATAGAAATTGTTTATTTGATGTGATGTTTGTAAACAATTACTCATGTGTACAATGATTGTTTATTTGCTAGACGACTATCACAATGTTTCTTGTGTGCAATGATTACCAGTTTTCCATGCTAATTATTTGCCAGTTCTACAACTAAGGAACCACTAACATGTGAAATCAATGAAAAAAAGGGAATTAAAAGGAAAATATGAGTAGAAAGAATTGATGTGATTTATACAGAGGGTCTAAAAGATGAAAAAACACAATCATTATGATTTTGTTTTCTCAAATTCTACAATTTTCGCAAAAAAAAAAATTCTCACGTTATTCTCGTCTAAAGATGTGTCCATATTCCTTTTTTTATTAAGAATCTTGTCCAAAATAGATCCATATTTAAAAATTTTGATGTGTTTTTTGTTCTACATAAATCTCATCCACCGTTTTCATTTTATAAAACGTATCAAATCAAAGGGGAATAGGGGATGCAATTTTTTCAACTAAAAAATTACTACAAAAACGTACAGTTAGGCCTTGGTTGAACATTGTTTTCAATTAGTGTTAATGTTTTAGATATTTTTTTATTGGTGTAGATTAATTCTCATAAGGTTATCGTAAGGTTTTTTCAAAATGCTAATTTCTAACGTTAATTCCAAACATGGCCTAAATGAACTTTACACTTTTTTAGGCGTTAAAAAATTATCTACACTTATCCACTTTTTTGTAGAAAATGAATACTCCCCTCTGTTCCAAATTGGATCACAATTCTCTATTTACATGATAAAATCTCACATTTTTAAAATCAAATTGTTTTAAAATTCTTATAAGTGTAAGTAATAAAATTTAGAGTCATATTAAACAATTACGTCACCAAAACAAGAAGTGCCAAAAAATTTTTATTTTATCAAGTAATTAACAAAAATATACAAACAAAAGTTATCAGGAGATAGTCAAGTAGCTCGTAGGTCCCAAAAAGTTTGTGATGTAATCTATTTGGCTACGGAGGGAGTATATGGACTTAATTTTCTATTTTGTCAAATATATTTCAACCACACGTGTTTCATTTTTATTTAATCAAATTTCACATTTAAAAATTTCTCTTAACTTATTGATGACAAAGAGAAGGTATATAAGGTATATCTGGTTGTACTAGAAGTAAGGTACAACAAGGTAATACTCATTTTGAAGTAAAATAGTACTATTCTTGCACAAACATAAATGTTTATTTTGAAATAACGTAGTACTCATTTTCACACATTTATTCAATAAAATTATAATGCTCATTTACTAATAATGTAGTATTCATTCTGAAATATAGTGGTGTTCATTCTCAAATAACGTAGTGTTCATTCTCAAGTAACGTAACATTTATTCTCTTTAGATTTGAAAAGTAAAATCTAATAGTCTAATTAAACTTAAAGTATTCTAATTAGAATGATCATCGTCATTAATCTTCATTGTCATCGATCTTCATCGTTGTCACTGCTGCAAATTTTCACGAAGCATGCATCAATGATCGACGCATCCACGGTTATGGATTCTTTTGTGCTCTCTTCGTTCTCCGACCGACGCAACTAGGGTTTGCCACCTTCATCGTTGTTTCTTCGTTTTTTGGATGTCGCACTTCTAATTTTCGCCGATTGCACGGTTCTTTTCGTACACCCAGGTGTAGGATATAATTTGCGAAGACCAAATGGTAAGATTTTTCAAAAAAAACGAGGGAGTATAAAAAAGAACCGAGGAGATATGTCTCGATATGATTATAGGCAAATTCCATGGTGGACCGAAGGTCCACCATGGACCTACATATGAGTAAAATAAGCATTACTTTACTACTTAAACAAGCATTTCTTTTTTTAATATAAAAAAAATTATGTGAGAAAGCCCATAAAAATGATATGCAATTAAGGTGCACCAAAGAAGCAATCATGATGATAACACAAATTCATTTTTTTAATAAAAAAGAACCATAGGTAATTAGTGATTCAGTTTAAGGGCTACTTCCATTTCCCATCGACTTTTCTATTACGTGTTACGAAGCATCATCGATTCTATTTTTAATTTATTTTATTTGATCTTAGGTATAAACTTTGATAATAAAATTTATATATAAAGAACTACATGAAAATTTTTATAAAACAAGAAGTGATAAGACTATATTATTTTATGAAATAAATAGTAAAAATAAGTAAACAACGTAAGTTAAATTTGACTAAATAACATACGAAGAGGGTAGTGATAAACCAAAAAAATAGTACATGGTGGCACCAAGCTAAGAAAAAAATAGTACAAAAATTCTCCACTCACAAGAATCACTTCCTAACTATACAAAATGCAATAATCTTATAAAAAGTTTCCATACAAAATGGACAGAGGAGCTACCTAATAAGAAATATAATAACACTTGCAAAATTAAAGAATGCTCATGAAATTCTCTTTCCTTCAGAGAGATACACATAGACAATTTAACAATTAATGAATTCAGAAAAATGCGTGAACTCATCCCATCTTTGCATATCTGTAAAAAGGAAAAGGCATGGCCACAATGGGATCATCAAATCTTTATAATAATACTCTTTTCGTCCCTAAAAGAAATTCTTGTTTGTTTTTTTACAAGATTTATGAAAAAGTGAAATTGTGTGCTAAAAATTCATGTAAAAGAGAAATAACTTTTTTGAAACAACAAAAAAAGGAATGTATGGAGTTTTTTAGGGACGAAGAGAGCATGTCTATTATTATCCCTCCATTTGGGAAACAATGCCGAGACAGATGCTAGTCACGTTAGCGAGCTTATCTCCGATGTTCGTCAACGGAGAGCCATTTCCGGCGAGCGAGGAGTCGCAGTCGCTCATATCAGACACGACGGCGCTGAGCATTGAGTTCATGGTCCCGACGTCCTGGCTCTTCAGGGCCTCGATCGTCTGGTTGATGTTGTACAATGCGTCGTCGAAGCTCCCCTGGCAATCCTTTACTTCGGAGCCCCCGGTGGGCCCCATGGCGAGCTTCTTCGCCATGGCGTTCCCGACCTTTGCGAGCTCGTAGCTCGCGTTGATCCCCGCCTCCAGAACCGCCTGCACGGTGGTTGCTCCGCCACGGCGTTTCAGGAGCGGGAAGATCGTGGAGACGCACAGCTTCGCGTCTTCCGTCGCTTCGCATATCTTCTTAAGACTGGCATTGCCTCCCCCGTCGCCTCCCATCCCGTCGTTGTCGGTGGACTTTTTCCCTCTGAGGACAGGGTGGATGATTTTCTCCGAGTGCACAAGCAATGGCGGGTCGGAGGCGACGAAGAGGATGAAGATTATCATCATTAGCCTTTGGAGGATGTGAGATTTCATGGTGTTAGAAGTTTGGGTTTGTTCAAAGGGGGGAAAATGGTGGGGGATTGGAGTTTGGAGAGAAATGGGGAGAAGAGATGGAAAGTTTGTGTGTGTAAATGGGGAATTGAAAGAGAGACCCTTGAAATGGAGTGTGGGTATTAAAATTAGGAGAACCTCAAAATAAAAATGAAGTAAAATATGAAATATTCTTAAAAAATTGTTTTGTTTTTTTTGCATTATTGTCTAATGGATTGTTTGACATTGTTGACTGCCTTTCTTAAATTATGGTTTACATTCTCGCTAATTGAAAAACAAATGTGATTGTGGGGTTTTGCAATACTTTACTCCGTATAATTTAATTTTATACTCCATAATTTATAAGGCTATGAGGTGTGCTAAGCGGGAAAGGAAGAGGAAGGGTGGGATTGGGACGGGAACACCGCCCCCCTTTTGCAGGAACAAGAAAGGCAACAGTCCAGGAGCTAAAAAAATCAAAAGCTTTCAAAATTCTCACTATATACACACTACACTTAACTCATATTTTTAATACACTTCCTATCCATTTCTTTGAGTTATAGTGCTATTTTTGTTAAAGAATTTTTATATATTGTGTAATCCTCTCTGTCCATTTCCTTCATTTGTGGCTTACTGTAAAGGCCGACTTCTTTCCAAATGCAACAACTTCATGAATGGCAACAAATGCAGTGCCAACAATTCCAATACCAATATTGGCCATTAATATTTATACTTATACATAGATATATATTTTATAAAAATTTGATATTTGAAAACTACATTTCATTATAAATATATTAATACGAAATTTGTATTATAATATAATATGTTTTTTCCACAAATTATAGTAAAAGTTTATAAACTTTGACTAAAAAAAGTAAGAACATTTTTGGACAGTAAGAATAATAATTATAGAAAAGTAAGTTAAATGGCGGAAAGGTAAATTAATTATTGTGAAGTTAACACCCCAAATAAAAAAAGGCAATCCCGCACCCCAAACAATTTTGCAATTACAATTAACATTTCAAGTAATTGGTTTACCTATACAAGACACAAGTTTACATTTGTGTACAGTGGAAAAAAGGCATTGTTCTTCAACTATCTTCCTATTGCCATCTTCCTCGGGTGCAAATTGGGGCAGAAACACATGAAACCTGAATGCAGATACAATCAAGAAAAAATATCCAATACAAATTGAATGTAAAATATGACAAAGTCTATTGTGCTATATTTGACTCCATTCCAATTGATATCCTAAGATAGGAGGTGATGGACAGCACTCAATCTTTGAGTCTTCAGTCTGCAATCCAAACCAGTAACAATTTGGTTGCTGGAATCGATAAAAAACTCAATGTGGGTAGCAAAAATAAAGATGTTTTGATTGCCTCAGTTAAATCCAGAATATTCATATGAATGGAGTTTCCCTGGGAGGTTCGCCCTGCATAGCAGGAACCCAGATCCACAACATCTCAGGTTAAATGGATTAAATCCTCATTAGCAATCACGGAAAAGAAAGATTGTGTGAGAGCATCTCCAAAGGGTAGTGAAAAAAATGAGAGTGTAAACCTTCTTTTACACTATCAAGAGTGTTTTACACTTACACTTTTTTATACTCACTCCAACCATTTTTTTTAAAAAAATACATTTTTATATTATTTTAGTATATATTTCATAGTTTAATTTTTAATCCTTACTAATGTTAGAATATAAATAATTGTTCTTGGACCACAACCACAAGCTTAAACTTTTGGTTGAGTTGGTTCCTTGACATGGTATCAAAGCCTCGTTGAATAAGAGGTCACGGATTCGAAACTCAGCGCCACCCAATTTAAAAAAATTAAGGTTTCACGTGCAAGGCTCAAAGAGATCACGTGAAGGGGCGTGTTACAATATACTTCGTATAACAATCATTCCTAGATCACAACCACAAGCTTGAACTTTTGGTTGAGTTAGTTCCTTGACAACTAACAAATTTACAAATCTACAAAACAAGATCCATAATTGCATATCAAAAGGAATTTGTGGTCGCCGACATCAAAATGAAAAAAAACACAGCCGCCTAGCTTGAAATTGCAGGCAATCACAACAATTTTTTTATGCAAATCCAAATCTCCATAGTTGCAGAGGAGCAACGGAACAGAATATTTGGCGATTGGCGAACAGGAAGAGCTCGATTGGCAATTGGCAAAGCAGAGAAGATTAGCAGCAAACAGGCGGAACTTAATTTCCACTATCTACCCTAGCATGTATATTTGGCATTCGAGAATGGAAAAATACACTCCCTTCTATTTTGTAGGGTAAATGCTAAACCTTCCATTTTTAGACTTTACTCATTTTTGCACTACCCCTTGGAGATGCTCTGAATAAATAATTCAAAGGTGAAATGTTAAAATAAAGATTTGCCTCAGTTGAATCCAGAAATATCATATGGAATGACTTCACACAGGAGGTTCATCCTGGCAAGCAGGAACCTGGCTCCACCACACCTCATTTATATGGATTTGATCATCAATGGCAAAAGTTTTGTACTACGATTTAACTCCAATCTCAGTTTTTGCAGAGAAGAAGCTGATAGATAACACATGGCTTTCTGAGTTTTTCAGACCCTAAGCCCATAAAAGCAGGAAAGAGTATAGTTAAACTCAATGGAAAATTCAAGGCAAAGTATGGAGGAAAACAGAGAGATCTTATTAAGAGGCTCAGAGAACAAAAAACAGCTTTTTCAATCAATGATGTTCAGAAGCAGAACTGGCGTTTAAAGCTGAATTGTTATCATCACAGCAGTAGATCAACTAACTCAAATCAGAAATCTGTAAAAAACCAATTTTATGGCTCATATTAAGAAATTCAACCATTGTTATTTTTCTGCTTCATTGCCAAAGCTCGGAAGCGCGGATAAAACACTAATCATCGCCAAATTCTTCAAAAAAAGAACCAGAGATTCAAAACTTGAGATTCAAGTTTGAAACACAGAAAATATACCAGATCCAATAAAGGTGTAAATCAAAAACAAAATGAAATCACCGCTTCAAACCAGCTTTAAATCTCTGCCTCGCGAAACCGCAAGACCAAATTCAAAACAATAATTAGAATCAAAAGAGAATTGTAGTGTCGCCGTTGATTTGACACAGAAAAGCCACGGAAAAGGATGTACAAGGGCTAAACTGCAACACTAGCGGCTGGTTTGATTTCGCACGAGCATTGGGGCTGCTTCTTCTTCATGAAGAACTCAGACGAGCCTGGGAGAGCGACGTGCGAAGATAACGAATCTAGACCAATCTAAGCGTGATGGTCATCGAGATTAAGACAGAAATTTAACAGAGGGATGCAGGAATGACTACTTGATTACAGAGATCCGCAGAAAAAAGATGTGAGGAAGACGAGAGGGTTTTGATTTATATAGGAAAAGGGTGAGAGCTTCTCAAACCCTAATTTGAGAAGGAGACGGCATCAATCGATTAACCTATTTTGATCAATGTCTAGGCTTAATTTTTTTAAATAAATTAACATTTCCATATATAATTGTGATTAATTTCATTTTCGGAAATAAGTCAACATTTACATGTTTAAAGCACACATTTTTTTGAATGACCTTTATTCACAATCTCAAACGTTTAATGCACCAAAGTTAAATTACAATGTTATCCCTTTTCTACTACTCATATTTGTTTGGATGTGATATTTAACCGTAGCTACTATCTCTTCATCCTTAATCTCTTTTTGATAAAGTTTAGCATTCCTTGCCTTCCAAATGTTATAGCACACATTCATCCAAGCTGCCATAACCCACACCCTTGCTCGGGCAGGTTTAATCCTCCATATATTCTCTCTTATTTCTTTTAAGGTATCACCTCTGATTGAATAATTCATCCCATCAAATATTATCTTCATAATCTTTCTGGTCACACTACAATTGCAGAATAGGTGATTAACATTCTCCTCCTCTTCCTCATATAATAGACATTTTGTATTAATGTCCATGAACTTCTTCAATCTGTCTCTAGTTTGCATTCTATTCTTCATAATCAACCAAAAAATAAATCTATATTTTGGAACACAACTCCAAACCCAACTGGTCCAGTAGGGAGTCTCCTTCTTACTGTAGATTAACCTATCCTGATCAAATTGTGAACAATAGAATTTGCCTTGGATTCAGATACAATATGCCGCTTGTCTTCCTTCTTTGTGCTTTGATAGCTTGGTGTGTGGCTATTTATATCGATCTTGATTATTTGTTTAATTTTAATTTTTTAAATTCAATAATTTATTATCTTTATAATTAAATAAATTTTATAAAATTCCCTGAAAACTTTGCATGTCTTGATTGTTTTGGTCAAATAGTGACACTCTTTAGTTATAAAGTATTTTGAATATTATAATATAAATGTAATATGATTGGGTTAATATTAGAATATATAATTTTAATATATCTAATTTTTATACCATTTATTTATTTAGATTATACTTAATTGAGAATATGTATACCCCGCCCTTGCCTATAAAGGTATATTTCCGAAAGGCCTTAGGTACAAGAAAACATAAAAATAGCAACTAAACTAACGTCATGGTCTAAAGCTAGTTAACACTAGTCGACAACAAGAACAAACCCAGTTTATTCCCAGCCCCTTTAGGGTCTCTGGATTAAACCGTCTTTCCCTAATAAAAACAGAGAGACTGTTGCCATTAGACCCTTGATGCATTGCTGAACTTACTACCCAAAACTTCATTGAATTTGAATAAGAAAAGAAGCAACCCAAGCAAGGGAAGTTTGATGCATCATTTTGATTTAGTTCATTATACTTCATCCGTCCCAATTTATAATGTTTGTTTACTATTCACTAGGGTCAAACTATATTCACTTTCTTTCTCTATTTTCGTTAGCAATTGGTTAAAATAAAATATTATTATCACTACTAATTTTGTAGATCTTTTGATGTAGTATTTTAATATGTAATTTTTATTTTTTAACTCTATACCATTTTTCATATAAAATGATTTGAAAATAGTTTCAGTAAAACATCGTAAACCAAAACAGGCACTATAAATTAGGATAGAGGGAGTACTCAAAGAACATTGCGGTTTGACAAAAAAAGTCACGACGAGAAGAGTTTTCAAGGACGGAAGGAGTATATTAATTAGATAAACAATGTTTTGAAAATACTATATGAAACAAATCTAATAGTATTATTTTTGTATTAATATCTAATGTCAATTTTATTTAATTAGTAGTCAAAGTTCATCAATTTTGAGTGCAAATAACCAGAAATAGACAAATACCTAGTGACGGAGGTAGTATATTTTAAAGATTTAGGAAAGGTTTTGCCAAAGAACCAACACCTTATGTGAATGCCTTTTGCAACCTTTTGCTCAATAAGGCTTTGATCTCATTTCAAATATCTTAACTCAACCAAATCCCCACTTCCATATTGAAAATAGCCAAATGATTTATTGAAAATAGAGAACATTTTATTCCATCATCACTCATATCATAAACTGCAGTTACATATTTGACACAAACTCAGGAGATGATTACATATATATAACAAACACATTCTAACAAGACAACATACATGGAAGTTGCTCTGTATTTAGTTAAGGGCAGCGGTACATCGTAATTATGGTCATGAATCTCAACACACAACCCGTCTAGGAACATTGATCTTCAAAGTACATCATTCATTCACAGAACTCTTCACAATGGTAACTGGGCAAGCAGCATTGTTCACCACATAGTTACTCACACTGCCCATTATAGCCCTGCCATGACAAAAAGGGTACAGCTCAGAACAAGTGAACTTTCCGGTAGCCTCTGTCAATAGCTTATTTTGCATCACCATTTTGATTGGGATCAACATGCCAAATATGCATTTCTAATCTAAATATATGCATTTCTAATCTAAACACAAGGGCATTTTGGGTTCTTTTTTAATGATGCAGATTAACTTTGTAAACCTTAAAGCTATATGCTTCGATAAGATGGTATTTCCATAATGCTGAAGTTGTTGCCAAACAGGCACATAAGCTTTGTTTGGTTTCCTTGTTTTCATCAAAACACAAAATCCCAGACACATATGTAGCAACAAAAAGTTGTTGCAAAGGTGAAAAGCACAAAATCCTTTCTAACTTATTAAAACCTATTAGGCGATCACAAACCTCTTGAGTGTGCCCAGTCCTCTATTCCCAACAACAAGAGAGCTGAGAAAAACTTTGTCCACTGCTTCACACAGTTTCTCTCGGGCATCACCCCAAAATATTTTCATCACGACAACGATCTGTTTTTACATAACAAAATGATACTCTACGGTTAGAATAGCTTCATGAACAAGAATGAGACTGGGAGAAGAAAATTACCTCTTTCTCCCTTGCTGCAGTGGTGACGATGTCCAACGTTTCTGCATCTGGACTGACTCCGTATTTGCTCATAATATGTGAGTCGCTCAATTCAGCAAGAGGAATCAGAGCTGATTTTTTTTGTGAAAAAATAATGGCTTAATAGATACATAAAATCCACTTAAAGGAATATGGAATTTGACTACAAAGATCCCTTCATTGTCACCACCTTAATCCCAATTATGTTGGTGTCAAATGAAACTTATATGGTCATTTTGTACTCCATTTGGCATTACATTTTGGCAGGTTTTAACTTCTGTGGTGGAAATGGATGTTACGATACCCTTTACTAAACGGAATTACAATAAAAATAACAACAACCCAATAAGGTCCCACAAGCGAGGTTTGAGGAGGGTGGGAATATGTATACCCTGCCCTTGCCTATAAAGGTATGCTTTCGAAAGACCTTAGGTACAAGAAAACATAAAAATAGCAACCAAACCAACGCTGATGGTCTAAATCCAGTTAACACTAGTCGACAATGATCTATCGTGATCCACAACAAGAACAAACCCAGTTTATTTCCAGCTCCTTCAAGGTCTCTGGATTACACCGTCTTTCCCCAATAAAAACAGAGAGACTGCTTCCATTAAACCCTTGATGCATTTCTGAACTTACTACCCAAAACTTCATTGAACTTGAATAAGAAGCAACTCAAGCAAGGGAAGTTTAATGTGTCATTTTGATTTAGTTCATTATTCAGCTAAAGCTAATCAGAATTGTGGAAAATGACTCGTCTAACTCCACTGAAAATGGATATCAATGAAGATCACAATAGATCAATGGCCTTTGAGCTGCCATCACAGGCATCATGTTTCTGTTTACTTGCTACTTACTCTTATTGAAATTTGATCAGATCAAAAACAATTTTAAATATAACTCCAATTAGATTAGATCAGAACATATTCGAATCACATCAAAACTAATCAAATAGTTTGAAGAGAACAAGTCCAAGAATTCATGAACATGCTCGAATACATAAGACGCTTCATCAAACACATAGATCCAATCAAGAACACAACAAGATCGAGGTTTCTACAGAGAGAGACAGAGATCACATACGAGATCCGGTGGTCTCCCAGAGCTGCATCTCGCCTTCCTCGTAGTAGCCATGGGGGCGAACAGTGACGAGAACGAGGTGATCCCCTTTCCGGAGCAGGTTCTCCACCCCCCATTTCAGAGCCTTCTTGCTGCACGCTGAGAAATCCACCGCCACTCCCACCACCCTTTCCCCTCCCATCTCTTCGATTCCTACCCCTCCCAACTATTGGGTGGGTTCACCTTTTCTTTTTTGTTTTTATCGCGGGTCGGGTCAAGAACCTCTACCGGGAGCAGATGGAATTGCAGAGTCCGGAAATGGATGATGATGGAGAATTCTTCCGCGAATGCTCCAAAGTCTAAAGAGAGCTTCACCTTTTTCTTCCAATCAAAGGGAATTGTCGACCTGCGGTGCAGAGGTGGGTTAGAATCGCCAAGCTATAGTGGGGGTGCACGTGTGTGATTGCGTTTGGTCGGAAGGGTAGAAACGTTTGACCAACTCACATTCTCACACTCTCTCCTATTAAAAAAGAAAAAACTAGTCATCATTCAAAGAGAGCAATTACTCATGGTGTAAATTATCTCGACTGGAATATCGTTTTTAGCCGAGCAAAAACGATAAACTAGTCTTATCATATACACCAAAATATAAATACAAAAACTTTGACGTGAAAACTCAATCGGGAGAAAACTACGGGCTTTTTTTGGCGAACCTTACCAACAGAGACTTTTATTAATATCGGAGGTTGTATATGATACACAATTTGAGCTCGGAAGCCATTAATGGAAGTTTGAAGCTTATTTGAAGAAATAAAATACATAAAATCTAGAGAGAGTGGGCAGGGGAATAAGGGATGAAAATGGCCTCCCAGAATTTGTGAGGATTGTTCTCCTTTTATAAGAGGAACTTGAGCAATTTTTAGAAAATATTCTTTTATTCTTCCATTCTACAAAGTACTAAACATGCCGGTTTGATTATTCTTCATAAATAATTGAGAAATGTGGATCGAGCCACGTATTATTTCCCAACAAGAAGTCTTCTACTTTTTTAAATTGTGAGAATCATCAACTTAAGAAAATAAATAAACCCTCCGAGTACTATCTTCAATCTTCATACATTGCTTTTTACCAGTTGATATAGTTAGTCCTCCAAGTTCTTCATTAATTTTCTGGCTTCGAACGAGATGTTTTTCCTGTAAAAAATAATGCGTATAACTTTTTTTTTCTCGACCGACCAATGACGTGCTCAAGCATATTATTTTTACCGAAGAGCTCGGTGTTAGAACACGTGCGAATAATCATCATAACGAGAGCGATGTTAATTCGATGAAGCAACGATGCTTCGAAAAGTTATACGAGACCAGAGTTAGTACGCCGAAGCAACGATGCCTTGAAAAGTTATTATTTCACCGAGATCGGTGTTAGTACGAATCAAGTAAATGATGCATAGTGAAATTAGTATATCGAAGAGATCGGTGTTACTTAATACGAATTAAGTACACTGTATCGGCTTTGTCAAAGATCGATGTTAGCACGACTAACTAATGTAAGTATTGTCACACCATGCAGGGACCGTCTTCAGAGTGCCTCACATAAAAAGGCTTGACGAATCGGGCATCCCCGATACGAGCTCAGCTGAAACACTGGTGTACCCAATTCGACTAGATTCAGACTTATACACAAGAAAATATGTGCAAGACCAGTGTGTATCATTCTTGGCCTGGAGTTGAACAAGAATTATTTTTACCATCGTGCCAGGGCGGGCTTGTGTCACATATTTTATTTATTATACTGAGCAAGACTGGTGTAGTAACCAGCGTGCCAGGTCGGGCCTCTGTCTCAGTCTTCATCTAAGATTTATTAAAACCAAAGTGAGATCGGTGTACCCAATTCGACTCGGGTCAGATTTTTTCTTGTTAATGTTGCTTGCCGTTCAGATCAATATTGGAGAATTAACCATGTCATATGATTTCGAGCCCTCTCCAAGACCCAAAATGCCCCTTCTTCCAAGCCCCCTTCTTCCAGGTGTGATGGTGTAAATATAACTGGATGGGTTGACTGGGTTTGACCTGGACACACTCAACCCGTAGTAAAATACACACAACAAGAACACAAAGTATGACCTAGACCAGGTAAATCTCCTCAGTCCGAATTATATTTCTTACTCTGTCTCAAGAGTGTACTTTTAGTGCGATAAAGAATGGATCCCCTCCTCTATCCATAATCATCATATTTATAGAGGAGGATATGTGACCTTTCCCTGTTCATCCATGGACAAAATAGGAAGCTCGTGTGAAGGTCACTGTAGTTAATAGAAGCACTGTATAATCATTGATTTTAATAGCTACAAGCCAAGACACTATTCAATCAAAGACTCTAAGGTGGATGTTCCCTATCCAATCAACCCTGCAAATAAAAAAAATCAACCCTGCAAGATGACAAACATTCCTTTTACTGTATGCCTCGTGATGGATGAACGGCGGGGTGGTCCCCTGGCCTCTGATGCTGATTGCCATGCTTGGGAAGTTCACCGAACATTAGCTAAGTAGAAGAATATGACCAAGCACCGTTCCTCGAAGGTCGACCGGACATTTCTTGAGCCCAATCCATCTCTTTGATCTTCCGGAATGTCTTTCGCAACATTAGGTGACATTTTGGCTATCGCTCAAAATGTGACCGGTCACTTTTTTAAGGAAAATGACTGGTCAACTTTTGATCCGTCTCAATCGAAGAGTTGTTCTCATTTTGTAATAGTGGAAAGTGACCGATCAACTTTTTAACCTGTCCCTTTCGGTTATTCGGGCAGGGTATAAGGATATACCCATCAAGTCTATTCATTAAGATAGCACAACTACACTATGGATTTTGCACACGAATCCTATGTCTATTCATTGAGATAGCACAACTACACTACATATTGCAGCTAATCAAGTTTTCTATGAAGGCACGAAACATATTGAAATAGACTGTGATTTTGTTCGTGACGAGCTTCTTCGAGGTGTGAATGTGTGATTCGCACGCACCATGTTCTTACTTCACACTAGTCTACAGATATGCATACGAATGTATTGGAAAAGTCATGATTGGAGTCTATCAAAAAGTTTAGAAATATGAATGATTTCTTCAATTTCACGTGTTTTAAATATTTCTAACTTTCTATTCATTTTATAAGCCTCAAACAAATATATCTAAATTTCTATAAAATTCTTAATAATTTATTTAAAGCCTAATTGAATACACCTAAATTTGTATGACTTTTAAAACATCAAAATTAAATACACCTACACTTTTCAGTTCTAAAATTTTCTTTTAATATATAAGCGATTCCAAAAAAATATACCTATGTAACTCTTGGGTTAACTACTCCCTATTTCGTAAAAGATTGGACCTCAACCCCCATGCACGATCCTCTAATATAAGCTAGGACATTGAGTTGTTGAAAAAATAAAGCTATAATTTCACAATGATTAATAAGAAGTGAAGCTTTTACCTAGCACATGCAAAACCTCAGGGGTCACATGATCATTAATTATAATTGTTGTGAGTATGTGAACTCAAGGGTAATAGTTAGGATCTAACGAAGGGATGAATAATCTGTTATCTATCAATCCCTGCGTTATCTATCAATCCCTACATTGCTGTGATAATTTTGAATCTCTCATTGAGTTATCAAATATTCTGATGAATTGTGAATGACAAACCAGGGATCATGATTCGGTGAATGATGGTACCATTCTGAGTGGCAATTCCACACAACACGATGATAGTCACAATGGAGGCTTCAACATCAACAAGCAGCCTCACAATGCTATAGATTGTGGTAGTTTCCCGTATAGGTATTAGTAGAGCAAACGCTGTGGCTTGGTGACATATCATCAAGGTGGCAATTCCACCATGAGAAGTCTCATGGTGGTCACTCCTCACATTGACGCCAGTTCTTTGAATATTCAAGCTACGATATTTATTTTTGTCGAAAGCTTTAGCATTTTCTAAAGGACAATACTTGTTCATTTGGGAACAACTCTTCGTCTAGCCCGGTGGCTGATGTCACCATCGCTTTAAGTAATTTCAATGAAAAATGACTTATTCATACTGACACACTTGTCATTATGTCTCTAATGATATCTTTGACTCTGATTTCATTTATCAAAGATAACATACTTTAACTTAAATAAAATATCATAAATTCAAACTTCAATAGAAATAATAATTTTATATACTTTAATAAATTGGAAATCTATAAATTTATATTAATTAAGTTATATCAAAGTTTTTAATGTTCAAAAAATACCTTAGTGTAAATAATGGTTAAACTTTTGTCATATTTATCCCTATTGAGAATAGAAGTCTCTTACCTTCCCAACAAATCCCTATTTCCTTCAGACTCTCTTCTAGTTTGGATACGGTAACTTTCTGGGCTGTAATTGAAGAATCATACCAGTTGAATTCGTGGCCAACGTATACTAAAAGAACAGAATTGCGGTGCTTAGCTGCGTGACTATGAAATGAAAGTGCTCTCTGCTCAGAGAGTTCATCACCTCGTCTTCATCCACCGCAGATTCGCCGGAACTAGTGTCGAACGTATGGCGGAGTGAACAATCGAAGCCTTTTTCTGCTCACTTCTGAATCCTCTACAGCATCGGAATCATGGCATTCTGGTGGCCGCTCATCGTTCTCGCCTTCGCTTTCGCGATCTGCCGACTCCTCCTCATGCTCATCCCTCCCAACGTCCCCTCCATCGCCGTCGACACATCTGACGGTCTCCTTCTCTCTCTCTCTCTATTAGTGCATGCAAGTTGTTAGAGTAAATTCTAGTTTGATTCATTTACTGTTAGTGTAATATGAGTTTGAAATCTCGCGTTTTCGATGTCTACAGTGTTGGAAGACGGGAATTGCACAAAGGAGAATAGCTTCATATACGTGAGTATCCAGTGCTCATGAACTTGAGATTTGAGATGCTGCATCTATCTGTGTGTGATTTGAAATTGTGTGTGACTTTGCTCTGCTTCCGGTTGTCCAATCATCTTTGTTCTTTTTCCCAATTTGTTTTTTCTGAGAAATAGTTTATCGAATATTCGTGCTGAATGAGAAGGATGTAAACTTTAAGCTGTTTATAGTCGTTATTGATTGGAAGAGCTATATCTTGTTTTGAAGACGGCGACTATTCATTGGGCTATTTAGGTTGATGTGGTACTATGAGAGTCTTTTATACATCCTATCAGATTTTGGTCTTTCATTTCCTTTATCTTCTCTATTTGTTTCTTCAGCAAATTAAACTTAGGCTTTTTATGATCTTCTATAACAACAAACTGGATGTATGTTAAGACTTCTGATCTGTCATTGTTTTCCAAGCCTCAATGCTCTCCCTATTCTTGATCCTTCATATGCTACTTAGTAATATTTAGAAGCTGAATCATACTGAGACAAA